GCTGATGGTTAATTATTGAGTAATGTAGGTCCTTGTTTGAGAAGTGAAGGTATTTGATATGTACTCCACTATATATCAACTTGTGAGTATATAAAAATGTTAGATTTTTCACTTAGTTTATTTATTTCTAATTTATTCTCTAAATTTTTAGAATTTTGACTGTTTAGATTAGAGAAGGTGGATATTATATACTCCATCCTTCCCAAAATATAACAACTTTTAGCTTTCATGATTTGTCCTAAAATATAACAACTTTTCCGCTAACATTCTTTTTCCAACTAATTACAGCCCTTCACCATTCACTTTTCCCATCTATCTTCACTACTTATTCAATTATAACTCTTCACCACTTACTTCTATCTACTTTCTTAATAACTATGTTCAACTCTAAAATTTCTTATATTTTTGGCCGGATGGAGCAATTAAGAAGCTGCCGCTGTTAAAAGTTTTCTTGAATAGCCTATAGTGTGGCAGACAGGCTGACATGTACAGGAGGGAAGCTGCATGCATGCCTGCCTGCTTTTTCATTCGTAACAAGCAGCTTAGCTAGCTGGATGGATCGATCGGTCGGTAACTGCTGCTGCTAAATTATTATTAGTAGGATTGATCTGGAGTTGCACATGGATGTGGCTCTGCTCGTAATCATTTCCTGCATCATGATGATCCTGCAGCGAGAGAGATAGTAGATCGATCAGCAAATATATTTATCAATAATTGTGTACGTGGGACGCTAGCTACATGCGTGGCTGTCTTAGTTAATTTGTTTGTTTGCTAGTTAATAAATACCATCCTTAATAGTATAATGTATGCTTCGAAATAATGATTAATTCTAATCAACGTTCATCGACCTTGATTGCCATGAACAAATACATACGGTTAAAGAGTAAAAAGGTGAAGAAATTAAAAATAGTTTATTAAAATAATGTAGATGATAAATATATTTTAAAAAGATACGGTTTGAGAGTAAAAACGAGCATATATCTACTCCCTTCATTTTATATTATAAATTGTTTTGACTTTTTTCTGATCAAATTAACTTTTTAAGTTTTATCAAATTTATAGGAAAATATAATAATATTTTTAAAAGAAAAAACAAACATACCATCAAAATATATTCAATGTAAAATTTAATAAAGTTAATTTAGTATCATAGATGTTCTGCTAAATTTCTTTGTAAACTTGTTCAAACAAAAAAAATTGATAAGTAAAAAAATCAAAGCAATTTATAATATAAAAAATAGGGAGTTACAATGACATTGCATTAGACGCTAGCTATGTATAGCTAGGGATCGGAAATGCATGTTATAATTTACCTAGGCATTCTACGTAACCTAGATTATTACTGTATTGCTTTAAGAAAAGAAAAACAGCGCGCTACAGGCCATACATGCATGCGTGCAATCAGGCCATTGACAGCAAGTTTAAGTGCAGCAAATCCGGGTCCGGTTTCGCAACAAAACTGGTAGTAATAGGTAGCTAGGCTAGCTAGCTAAGTGTGATTAAAGTGGGCGACAACATGCGGATTATGGTAATGCCAGTGGCCGGGCTAATTAAGTAAGATAATCAATTATATTTAGCGGCATATAAGTGCATGCCTCGATGATCGTGCAAATGTGCATTGCAAACACGATGAAGCTAGGAGGAAGACGACGACGCGGAGGAAGCGAAGAAGAAGGGGGTCAATTGAGATCCTCCTGCTCACTGACATATGGGTCTGAGGGCTATGGAGCCTACATGTCAGTGAGTAGCTTAATACGTACTCCGTCCCATAAAAAACGAATCTACTCCCTTCATTTCACAATGTAAGTCATTCTAGCATTTCGCACATTTATCTAGATTCATTAACATCAACATGGATATGAGAAATGTTAGAATGATTTACATTGTGAAACGGATGAAGTAGGACCGGATGTACGATGAATTTAGACATATGTATGTCTAGATTCGTAGTATTAGCATGTGTCATATTTGATACTATGTTGGTTTTTTATGGGACGGAGAGAGTATAACTCTGAAGACGACCTGCATCCGAGGAAGGGCAATGGCTATGGTGGCGTCGTTGCCGCAGCATGTGCGATGCGGTGGCGTGTGCGTGGAATCCCAAGGCGGCCAGCGAGGCCGAGGCGTACGGGCATGTTGCCCACACGTGCACATGCATTGCCCCGGTCAACATTCGCCCGCATCACCACCCCAACCGACTCTATATTTTATACTCTCTCTCTCTCTCTCTGCTCTGCTCTAGCTTCAATTCCTCTCTGCTTTTCTTCTCTCTCTTTTTGATTTGAATATGACCAAATGGGATGCCTTTCGTTTATAAAAATCGTTCGAATTCATCGATCGGCCGTGTGTGTGCGTGTGTGTGTGGTCGCGCTTTCCTGGCACTTTCGTCGTCGTGTTGCAGGTGTGCGCTCGCTCTCGTGTCCGTCCACGGGCATCTGATTCGCACGGCACGTGCCACTGGAATTTCCACATTGTATTGCCAGCTTCTAAACTGCCGTCGATCCATCCATCCATCAGGTGCATTCATACATGCACAAGTCAGCCGGCTAGAGCTAAGAGCAGGTACAATACCAGGGGCAGGCTATTAGCCAAATGTAAACATATTTTAATGAGATAAAAGATGAGAGAGAAAAGCATCGGACTACAGATCTGTAGCCAGCTGCAGTGCGCGCGGGCTTTAAGACATATTGTGTGTATGACAGATGGGACCATATATTAGTAGTATAGTAAGCAACTATTGTATGAATTGGCTATTAGATTTACTATAGATAAATTGAAGCTAGCAGTGAGCTATACTATTAAACTTGCTTTAAGAGCAGGTACAATAGCAGGCTATAAGCCAGCTGTAAATATATTTTAAGGAGATAAATGATGAGAGAGAAGAGTAGTGGGCTACAAATTTATAGCCAGCTGTAGCACGGACTCTAAGACACAGTGTGTATGACAGGTGGGACCAGGTATTAATAGTGTAGTATGTAACTATTGTACGAATGAGCTATTAGATTGGCTATAGATGAATTGGAGCTAGTAGTTGGCTATACTATTAAACTTGCTCTAAGCTAGCTCCCATGGCCGGATTGACCGGCCGACCGGCCTAGAGAGAAGTGTTGCCAGAGAATAATTAGGCCCGTATATGTATGTACAGCCACTATACCATACAACTGCTCAAAGGTACCCTATCAATTATCATCATCGACATATTTAACTTTTTGCCACTCTTACAAGCGGTAATTAAGATTCATCACTGAACTCACATGTCATAGATATATAAGGACCCATATGTTATAGACTATGAGTGGTAAATCCATAATTGTCACATCTTGAAAATGACAAATAGTTAAACCCATTCAGCATCAGGTCGATAAGAACCGATATTGATAAAAGGTTTCCCACCATGCATCCCAAACGGACAAAAACCTACATTGATGAGACTACATCGATGCCGGTTTATAAAAATAAGATATTGATAACATCGTATGTCATATATTTAGTGTCGTTTGTTGTTACAACCTAGCACATGATATTGTTTTAGTAGTGCCGGTTTTCTAATGAACTAGCTAGCACGGATAAAATGAGTGAGCCTGACTCGGGGGAGGAAATTAAAATGTTTTTAAGTGCATCGAACGTGTGAGCCAAGAAAAATGAACTTGCATGTATAGTTTCTAAGTGTCGAACGAGATGTTTTCTCAATGCCATAACATTAAACATTTAACTTAGTAATATGTTCATACGTTAAAACGGATCCATATCTCTGAGATTGTGAGAATGAGAATAGGGGCCATACCACTTAGAATGGAATGTGTGATCTATTTTAAAGCATGCGCTTTTTTAGCAACAGTTTTCTTTTTCTTTTTTTTTTCTCTTGGACAGAGCTTTTTTTTTCATTAAGACCTTGTGGGAAGAGGAGCGCATGCACTATGTGCGAGGGGTGGAAGGACGGATGACTTTACTTTTAAGTAGTAGAGATTATAGAGGTACTACTCTGATTTACTACCTCCATTCTAAAATATAGCAATTTTTAGCTATTAATTTGGACACGCAGATAAAAATATTTATATTTTGAGACGGAGAGAGTAACAATTGTTAGACCCGATTCAAGTGGATAGATCAGGGTACGACGGCCTAGGCCCCTGCTCGATTAGGGGCCTAGGTCCATGTATACACAAGGTGTCGTATGTTTCGTGTACCATTTTGAACTCTGCGCGTACTATGAGCGATCACTGCGATGGTTCACGGTGCGACCATCCAACTGCACAACAACTCCACTGTACTAGTCCACCTCCGACACTCTGGTGACAAGTGTGTTCTAGAGCTCTCAAAATTGTTGAGCCGGCCCTGAAAATTGTTGACAAGTATACACTTCCTCACTCCCATTAACACTTCATTATGCTAGTGTAGAAGTTGTTATATTTTAAAATAAACTTTAGAGACTACGGCTGTGTTTAGATCCAAAATTTGGATCCAAACTTCAGTCCTTTTCCATCACATCAACCTGTCATACACACACAACTTTTCGGTCACATCATCTCTAATTTCAACTAAAATCCAAACTTTGGATCCAACTAAACACAGCCTAAGATAGGTGTCGTGTAAGGCCAAAAATCGCTGGCGCAATACGCTAATAATTATTTTATTTAAGGATGGCAAAAGAATACGCTAATAATTAAATCATAAGTCTACAACAGAGTAACTAAAATCGTAAGTCACACCTTGAAGTTGCAGTTTGTTTGTCTGCTCAAAACTGACGTAGATGATACTACTACATTAGTGCAAGTGTGCACATCTAATTGACGTAACTAACCAAACGATAGACCAACTCCCAATCTAAATGAACTGTCAAAAGTTGCTTCAATTCCCACTTGTGCTTGCTAACTACCAAAGATTCAACAGCTACATTTTTAATTTTTAAAAGAAAAAAAAAAGAGGCTATGCCTGGTAGAGGGAAAAGAATTCAGCTCAAAACAGTGAGTATACTAAATTACGAATTTTAAAAAAGAAGGTCAATTAATTAGTTCTTCTCATGTTATTTCATCAACTTTTCATGTGCATACATGGATCCATCCTACATTTGTCAAAAACTAAATTAACTTTGCACTTGATCCTTAAAAATACACAGGAAAACGAGAGATCAATTCAACTCTGTTCTACTCTTGCGTCTTGCTCAATGTCATCATCTTCTAGCTAGAGATCGCTAGCTTGGTCATGTCGATCATGGCGGCGCGCGCATCGATCGATCTACCTCGCCGCCCTGACCGCCTTCGCGAGTCCAGATGATGCGCCGCCGTACGACGACGACGCTGCTCCGGCGTGATCTCTGAATCCGCACAAGAACTGGGGGTGGCCGGGGAATATCGCCGCCGCCGGCGAGGGCACGCCGGCATTGGCGACGCGCTTGCAGGAGAGGCACATTGTGAGGGTGGTCAATGGCGGCGCGGCGGCGGGCGGTGTGGGCGTGGCCTTGAGCGCCCTGAGCTCGGCGAGCTCCTTGTGGAGGCGGCGGTTGTCGTCGGCGAGCTGGTCGCACCACCGCTTGAGGTGCTCGCAGTCCACCTCCGTCTGCTTCAGCTTCGTCCTCGCGCGGCGGTTCTGGAACCACACCTCCACCTGCCGCGGCCGCAGGTTCAAGCTCTTCGCCAGCGCCACCTTCTGCTTCTGCACATCATCCATGGATCAGAGGAAGAAAATTCAGCCATGCCATTCTCTCGGATTCAATCCCATCTCCAATCCAATCCACCATTGGCGATGGGTAGGAGAAGAAGCTTACCGGAGTGAGGGTGTGGTGCGTCTTGAAGCACTCCTCGAGGACGGCGGCCTGGTCCTTGGACAACCGCAGCTTCTTGCGCGCGCCGCCGCCGCCGACGTCGCAGCCGGCGTCGTCGACCTCGTCGCCGCTGCCGCTGCCGCTGCCTCGCTTCCCGCTGCCGCTCGACACCGGGCTGCCGGGTGAGCACGCGAACCTCTCATCCTCCGCCGCCGTCGCCGCAACCACATCATCACGCCTGATCACTTCCTGCTCCGCCATGCCGGAGTTCAGACAGAACCCAGCAGCCGGCCATGTCGCCGCCGTCGTCAAGCCTAGCCCGAGGCTCAGGCCAAGATCCAAGCCTTGCCTCTCCATGTCTTAAGTGCTCTAGATCAATAGCTACAAGTAAGTGCTACTAGTGAGTGGGAGTTCGTCGGCGTCGGAGACGATGAAGAGAGGAGGAGAAGAAGACGAGGGGTATAAATAGATGAGAAGATCATGGATTGAAATCAAGAAAAGAAGATTGGTCGACAATGATGAGCTGGTGGCGCGTGGGTGGATCTGCTTTGGAGATTCTTGAGGCCCAGCCAGCGACGATCCTGCAGTTTGCGATCGAGGCTGCTGCTTTGACCTAACCGGCCACCATTACAGAATACAGCTATAGAGCTTGATGAGAAGAAGACGAAGAAGGTAGTAGAACTGCAGCTGCATGCTTGCGAGTGTAATCAATCATCTGAATAATAATAATTGGGGATTCTTCGTCCCAGGTGAGATTAGCAGCTAATTAAACTAGTCCAGTCAAGGGAGAATATTTTTCTTCATCCAAAATATTTGTTGCTGTGTACGTGTGCTTGGGTGAGTCGCTATCGATCTGTGTAAGAAATATATGGAGTGCGGCTGCACGATTTCAGATGTTGTGTAGTTGTGCCAATCTAGGAATTTTTGAGCTTCAGTTTTGAGCTTGAAGCTAGCCACAGTGCAAGAAGCTTTACTGACGGTATTTGGAGGAATTTTGCAGGATTTTCATACGATTTAATTCAATTCCTTTGAAAAATCCTACGCTATCTACCTATTTCAATCTTTGGTATGTCAGAGTAATAGCATGAATTCGTATTTTTGGATAAAGAAATATTCCAGCTTTTGCATAAGGTGTACATGCATTCAACTATTCATTATTACAAAGCATTAGCATCGTTCATAAAATTCAACCTCGAATAGATTTGTAAACTGTTGTAATTTTGTTTTGTGAGAAAATTGTTGTCTAGAAAAAAAAGAGATTTGGAGGGCGCTACGTCCCTCCAAACATTTGTTTAAGAAATAATTATAAGCGTGTTAGGAATTGAACACGGAATCTTGGAGTTGGAATCGTACACCCCTTTCCACTGCACTAACTCGATCTCTCACATCTAAAATTACAAATAAACATAATTACTCCTAAAAATCCATTCTAAAACCAAACGGGGGCCTTAATCATGCCGACATTATTGTTGGTCCCGGGTGAAAATTGAGAGACAATCCAGTTTGGGCATGTCGAGATGGCTGCTGCTGGGTGGAGCCCTGCTGGTCTCATGGCTCGGTCGGTCGGTCGATCGATCGGTTTGGGTTAAGCAGCAGATCGATCAAATGATGGTACAGTGGCAATGGCTGGCTAGCTCATCATTTTCGACTCAACTCATCAATTTCATCATGGTTCTAATGATGGATCGACCCCATGAGACAGCTTACTACATGGTCCTTAACCCCTTCATGGACTATATTGCCAGCTTTGTGTCTGAATTATAAGATGCTATATAGCTGCTTAGGTAGTACTCATTGCACAGTAGTTGTACTTGAAAAGGAATCTGGAGACAGAGAGGAGCCAATTTGTGATCAGTGTGCAAGTTGCAGAGACTAAGCTCTTTGCATGATAGATATGAACCGTATATAGTGCATAATCCTAATTAAGCAATCAGTAGTGATGATTTAATTAATGTGATGTTGTGTGTGCGCGCACTCCTATATTAGTCATGCATTTCATGTCAGATGTTGGTTGATTATAGTCAGTTAGTTGAATAATGGTAGACATCATGTGCACATCATATAATCCGTACGTACTGCATTTTTTTGAGGTGGATTAACTATCATGGTGTTGTGTTTGTTGAAAAGAAATAGTGTGAATGAAGATAATATACACTTGTACTCATCATTAAGAAAAAAACAGAAGAATGTACTACATATAGTATCTAGCAGAAACGACATAACTAACAAAACCAACAAAATTAACTGGCTAGACCATTCCAACAAATTGACTCTTCTAAAATTCGGGGTATACAATGAAGTTGACAACAAACTCAAAAGCATAGGAAGGATTAATTAACCAAAACTTCAGATGCATCAGAGAATTTTCTTGCTTTCTGAAGATGTCATTAGTGTCACATGACTACAGTATATACATTGCTTACAGTATTACCATGCATGTATGCAGAGAGGAGAAATTAGAGCCGGTTAAGATTGATGACATTTTCAACTATACCATTATTTAGTAAAATTGACAATTATATAACTACGTTTTTTTTAACAAATATTGAGAAATACCCAGGGGTTTTCCGGCTAGCTCCACAAGATGGTGGGCTAGACGTTCTGGGTTCGAAGCATGCATCACACATTCTAATGATTGGATATTATGTTCTTCCCTATATTCGTGTCTTTTTGTTAAGTGTATAGAATTTTGGTAACATTATTAAACCAATCCTACCAAAGTTTTGGCAATATTACCAATTTGGCAAAATTTTGGCATTGCCATGTTTTGGTAAGGTTTATTTTTGGTATCAATCTGAACATACCCTTAATCTACCCTTGACACATCATATACACATATATAATGTGGTTACTATACGTTAATCAAGATGGATGCATTCATATGAGTGTAGTTGAGTGAGTAGCTAGATACATAATCGCGCCCGACAACGCCATGTTGTGGTAATCATTCCTGCTGCAGTGTGATTAATTAACTAACTAACTAATGAATTAAAGGGCTTAATTATGTTGGTACGTGCGTGCAGTGTGTTATATATACTACCGGTCCATCGACCCATGATACGACCGGTCTAATTAACCAGCTCAGATGAGATCGATCGAATTAAGGCCAGCTTTAATTAATTAATAGTCATCGATGATCATCATGGATCATTCATCAGTGGGCGACTAACGTAACTGTCGAATCATTGTGTGCGACCGACCGGCCTCACATGGCCTACCCTCCTATGATCTTCCTCGATCAGCTGTCACTCACGCTTGCATATGCCCTGCCATGTTAAGTTAATCCCTCCTGTAATTGGAGATTAAATTATGGTTTAAAACCTAAGTAAGTACTCCTTAACACTGCAACTAGCTGTCCGCCAGTCGGCATTATATTACAGGAGTACGTGCAAGCTTACTCATTACGTACACCATTTGTATTTTAATGCATGATGTTATTGATTTTTTTAACATAAGTTTAATTATTTGTTTTATTTTAAAAAAATTATGTAATCATCATTTATTTTGTTGTAATTTGTGTAAATATTTATTTTCTGAAATATTTACATAAAGTTTTTAAATAAGACAAATGATCATTCACAAAACAGGAGGGAGTATGTAATATATAATTGCATCGAAATACTCTAAAATTAATGGACCAAATGATTAACGGATTATTGGAGGAGTTGTAATTATTTAAATGTACAACTAGTACTCATTCCAGATCTAAGCTGTGTATGGAAGAGGAAGGGGGAACAGAATGCAGGGGCATTCAGGCCGGGCGAGACACAGCCAGTTAAGGATGCAGGGGGGACGACATGCTATTTTGCTCTAATCATTGGGGAGTCTTTGCTCTCATTGCTGCCTGCTGATGTGTAAATCATTTGCATTTTGAGATGTTTAATGTACTCTTTTTGTCCTATAAAAAACTAATCTAGTATTGGAAACGATATTTTCTACTACCATGAATATAGAGAATCACATTGTATAGTACAACGAATTTGGACAAGAGGCTGTTATTTATTTTACTATTAGAAAATATCGTCTTTGATTCTATATTAGTTTTTTTAACAGGAGAGTACTCCCTTCGTTCTTAAAAAAAACCCAACATAATATGAGATACGATATAATTTAGTACAACGAATATGGACGGACTCCTATCCAAATTCGTTGTATTAGATTATGTCCAATCTCATAATAGTTTAGGGTTTTTTTTGGGATAGAGGGAGAATAGAATTAGCTAGTCTAGCTAGGAGGAAAGTGGTGGGTACAGCAGGGTACGTGCAATGTGTGAGGTTGCACGCGCGAGCATGTGGCCGTGTCCGGGGAATCGCGCGCGCGGCAAACGCCAGCGCGGCCGGGCGTACGGCCGCGGCCCGCTCGCACGTGCACGTGCCGGCCGGCTAGTTTGCCGGTCAAACCCCCATTCCACGTCTCTCGCGGTCTAGCAAGCCAGCATGCATATGGTCAACAATTCAGTGGTTGGATTGTTAAAAAAGAAGAAGAAATGCTATGCTACTACTCAGGCTGATTATATTAAAAACAAGAGAGCAGTACTTATTTTTAAAAAATAAGGCTGATTATATTAAATACTCTCTTCATTACATATTCATCCTTATATAAGTTTTTTCAACAAAACCAAGAAATACTTAACTATCATATATTTTATTTAATAGAAAAAAACCGTGCGTTGCAATAAGTAAAGCTATTTTTTTTAGGGGTGCAATGGCTATTATGAGCTGAGCAATCAATTGAAACATTGAGATCGCTATATTACAGTATAATTGAAAAAAATAATCAATATCCTTCCTTGGTTTTGGGCCAAAAGCTCCTTCCTTCTTTTTAGCCCTAGCACAGTTCGTTCCCTCCTACCTCTCTTCGCTCGGCCTGCCTCGCTTTGGCCTAGCTCACAAGTGGAGCTGCACTAGAGTGAAACAAATCTCTCACCCCGGATCACCTGAAATGCATCCCTAACACATGATTTAAGACACGGAAACTAACAGCACATCTTTGATCTCACTAAAGTCATGTTTAAAGTCTATGCATGTACGTAATATTCGTGAGCACCATGATTTAAACCATGGTGGGTAGAATTATACACCCACGACTCCACCATCATACCACTGGTTCTTCGTTTCTTCCCTAGTTGAATTTTATCGATTGGTTAAGTGAAAAATTACAAAATAAACTAAGATACAAAATTTTTAAAATTAATTTTCAAAATTTAAAATTTAATAGCGGATGATATACTATAAGCTAGGCCTAATACTAAGACTTATATTGCTCCAACAAAGGTAAAAGTAGGCCATATGATCATATATGCATGACGAATAAAAAGTCCCTTGATTTAGTTAGATTTGACAACCCCTATTTCGTAGGAGTAAGATTCATCACGAGTGATGAATTGATGATCGAGTGAAAGTCGGTACGTTCGTACGATCGATCGTTATTCGATCTGGCCACCAGACACCAGTCTGTTGGGGGCAGCTCAAATAAAAGTATGTTGAAAAAGAATACATTAGCCGTGGTCGTTAACATAACTGAAAATCCTGTACACAAACAGTTGCGAGAACATAAGTACGCCATAGTTAAATTTTATATTGTTTTAGAGCACAATGTTAGTTAGTTAATTAAGACATGTAGGACTCGTTAATTAGGTCGATAACCACTAACTAGCTCATAGATCATATTGATACCATCTTTCATATACGGAGTACGATCTAAGAACAATAATCCTAGCTGGAGTAGTACTTGGCTGGCTGGCTTTGGTAGCTAGAGAGTATTATTAATCATTTGCCGGTCCGACAAGGGCATGTTATCCAAATCATTCGTGGTATATATTGGGGTGCAAAAACAGTTGCTTAATAATTATAAAAGCATAATTATTTTGTAGTACTAGCAGTAACTAACAAACTAACGAACGAGATGATATAACTGATCTGATCATACATTCATATCCCTGGCAGCTTAGCTAGCAAATTAAACCACTACTGCATCATTGCGGCTGCACATGCTTTCCGGTCTGGGCTAGCTAGGGCTTGCATAATGATTAATGTGCATTTGTGCTGTGCATATATGTCTGTATGATTAAACTTGATAACTACTAATAATTACACCTGTAGTGCTCGTGCAAATGAGAAAAAAAATAATTGCTGAAACTATACTCCTTGTAAAGTTTGCATAAACAAATCAAGATGGGCATGCAGTACTGTCTGCCTGATCATCATGGGTGCTCTCTCTGAAGTCTGAAATATTCCTAGATCTAGCTGAATGAGGCAGATGAACTCAAATTAAATTAATAATTAAGATGGATGGATGGATCATGGGTCGGACAGCCAGGTTAGCTGGGTTAATCAATTAGCATGCGGCTCTCCCCCCAATGATTTGCTCATGTCATGGGTGTGGTTTGCAAATCTGCAGTAAGGAAGCAGCCAGCGAGCGAGCGAGGCGACGGTTGATGGATGGGTGGATGCTGGAGAGGAGAGGAGAGGAGACTGCGCGCACGGGGGCTACGCGACGAATCCGCCATGGGAAATGATTGGTTTTGATCGGTGGCGCGCGCGCGAGCATGTGGCTCGGCCGCCGGATCGCCGGACATGCCAGGTGCGCGCGGTCGCGGGAGCCAGAGGGATCTTCTCTCTCATCTTTTCCTCCCTCTCTCTCTCTCTGTGTTTTTTTTATTACTCCTCTTCTTCTTCTTTCCTCTCTGGCGGCGGCGGCGGCGTCTTCTCCGGCGCCGGCCTGGTCGCCCACAGATTTAGTTGGGATTCAAATGGGCCCATTTTATTTCTGCAGCCCAACACGAACGGGATTGCGGCCCATATACCATGTTGGGCTCGAGCGGGATTTTCACCAACGTACAGCCCATATGTATTTGGGCTGGAACGGGATAGGAGACGAGGGGAAGAGAAGATAGGAGAGGAAGAATTAAAATACCTTATTAAGGGTCTGTTTGGTACAGCTTCAACTCCTAAATATAACTCCAGGAGTTGAATCTGGAGTGGAGTTGTGGAGCTGCCTAAACCGAGATCCACAATTCTAGTACATTTTGTGAGAGAGCTCCACCCAACTCCACTCCTAGTTTCGGTGGAGCGTTTGGCTGAGCTCTAGCTCTAGGAGAGGTGGAGCTGGAGCTGTGCCAAACAGACCTTAAGATTTGCCACTTACACGTAGGCACTATATGTTTTTTTATTTATTTTGTTTTTGCTAACTAGTATGCCACGTCAACAAAATCAGCCATCCATATTATTATGGGATCTAATTTAACCCAGTTTTGCAGGTTGTGGGTTAAGATTTTTGGTATTGTGGTTGAGATGTACAAATTAAAATCGACGAAAACATAACGAACGTAAAGTGGACTTATTCGAACGGGATTACCAGCTACGTGTGGCCCGTATAATTTGGGCCGGGAAGGGTTTGGCCCACTTATGCGTGGCCCATTCTAGTTGGGTCGATATATTGCTCAAGGCCCATTTACCCCTTCGTTTCCGTTACGGCTTCTCGTCTCCTCTCCCCTTTTCACGCCATGGCCGAGCGATCTCCCGGCCGCCGGAATGGACGCGGCGGCGGCGGCAGCTGCGGCGGGAGGAGGTGGTAACGCCGCCGCGCGGAGCAGCCCCGCCGCGAAATCCTCCACCATCTCCTCTTCCCGCAGCGCTAATCTTCTTCTCCCCTTTCACGTCGTTACCGAGGCACCGAGCGATCGACCCGGCCGAAATGGCGGCGGGAGGAGGAGGTGGTGGTAGCGCCGCCGCGCGGCCAGCACTCGGTGAGTGACCAACCAACCCGCCTTCCCCCCCCCCCCCCCCCGCCCCCTACCCCTCTTCCCCCGTTACCCGCGCTTCTCGTGCAGTCGTGCGCTCGATGTGGTTCCTGTTTCGCTTCACTGTGCTCGCATAGTCGCATCGAAGCGGACGCCTGGCTGCGCGCGTGCGCGATTTGGATCAACGCGGAAAGGTATATCGAATGAGAGAAGCTGAAAAAGCGAGAAATGACCTGGTTATTGTTACTGCAGATTGCGTCTGGTTTCCTGTGAAATTTTCTTCCCGCAAAACGTCAGGGTTTAACTTGGTAAAACTGGGAATAGAGGAAAGCTCCCTGTGCTGACTTTGAAACTATCGTCTTTAACTTGAAGCCTCTTTTAAGTTGAAGCCGCCGTTTAGATTGAGACTAACTATATTTATGGCGTCACAATTTCTTTTACCAAAAAAGAGACTGCAAATGAACATATATTTACATTGTGTAGTAATTTTGTTGTAACTTATAAAAATTACACTGTCAATTTCAGTACTGACATTGTAATTGTAAATTTTCGAGTACACACCATATAAGAGAAAGAGGGAATATCGATTGATTACCTACCTGATAAAGGAGATGTAAGAGATAGAAAACATATTTACATATAAGAAAAAAAAATGTAGCAATCACATAGGGAAAAAAATGACTGAAATCGAATCGAAACTGTGGCGCTATTTCTTTTTAGCAAAAATGCTTTAACTTACATCTTTTTATGCATATAAGGTAGGGCGACTTTAACTTACCTTTGCTCCAGGGAAACTAAAGCTTGCTCTAGTTGGAAGCTAACTTGAGCTGAATTAGCCAATTAGCCATCAGAGGAATGATGCAAGGGATAATGCTTGCAGCGTTGCTTGTTCTTTGCCAGTTGATCAAAAATGCAGGCAAGATCACTGATGCTGCGTGCATCTCCAGTGAGAGGGACGCTCTGCTTGCTTTCAAAGCCGGTTTCGCTGATCCTGCTGGAGGGGCGCTGCGTTTCTGGCAAGGCCAAGACTGCTGCGCATGGAGCGGGGTGTCCTGCAGCAAAAAGATCGGCAGTGTTGTCAGCCTGGATATCGGCCATTATGATCTCACTTTCAGAGGTGAAATCAACTCATCTCTGGCTGTTCTGACACATCTAGTGTACCTTAACCTGAGTGGAAATGATTTCGGTGGGGTGGCCATCCCAGATTTCATAGGCTCCTTCGAGAAGCTGAGGTATCTTGATCTTTCGCATGCTGGTTTTGGAGGGACAGTTCCTCCTCGGCTTGGTAATTTGTCAATGCTCAGCCACCTTGATTTGAGCTCACCAAGTCATACAGTTACTGTCAAAAGCTTCAACTGGGTGTCTCGCCTCACTTCACTGGTCTATCTAGACCTTAGTTGGTTGTATCTTGCTGCTTCCTCTGATTGGTTGCAGGCTACAAATACGCTTCCTTTGCTTAAAGTCCTCTGCTTGAATCATGCGTTTCTTCCTGCCACAGACTTGAATGCTCTTTCTCATACCAACTTCACAGCCATTAGGGTACTTGATCTGAAGAGTAACAACTTCAGTTCACGAATGCCAGATTGGATTTCAAAGCTAAGTTCTCTTGCATATTTGGACTTGTCTAGCTGTGAGCTTTCAGGCTCACTTCCCAGGAACCTTGGGAACTTGACATCCCTCAGTTTTTTTCAATTACGAGCGAACAACCTTGAAGGTGAAATACCTGGATCCATGAGTAGGTTGTGCAACCTACGCCACATTGATTTATCTGGAAACCATTTCTCAGGAGATATTACAAGACTTGCTAATACCTTGTTCCCCTGCATGAACCAGTTGAAGATTCTTGACCTTGCACTCAATAATCTAACCGGGAGTCTGTCTGGTTGGGTCAGGCACATAGCAAGTGTAACTACTCTTGATCTTAGTGAGAACTCATTATCCGGACGAGTATCAGATGATATTGGCAAGTTATCAAACTTAACCTACTTAGATCTTTCAGCCAATTCATTTCAAGGCACACTGTCCGAACTCCACTTTGCTAATCTGTCCAGGCTGGATATGCTAATTTTAGAGTCCATTTATGTGAAGATTGTCACTGAAGCAGACTGGGTGCCACCATTCCAACTCCGAGTCCTAGTACTTTATGGATGTCAGGTAGGACCACACTTCCCAGCATGGCTGAAGTCACAAGCCAAAATTGAAATGATCGAGTTAAGCAGAGCACAGATCAAGAGCAAGTTACCTGATTGGCTCTGGAACTTCTCATCAACAATTAGTGCCTTGGATGTCTCAGGAAATATGATTAATGGAAAGTTGCCCAAAAGTTTAAAGCACATGAAAGCGCTGGAGTTACTTGACATGAGTTCGAACCAACTGGAGGGATGCATTCCTGATCTGCCATCTAGTGTGAAAGTATTGGATCTGTCAAGTAACCACTTATATGGACCATTGCCACAAAGACTGGGTGCCAAAGAAATATATTATCTATCACTCAAAGACAACTTCCTCAGTGGAAGCATCCCTACGTACCTATGTGAGATGGTTTGGATGGAACAGGTTCTTCTATCACTAAACAACTTCTCAGGTGTACTCCCAAATTGCTGGAGGAAAGGTTCAGCGCTGAGAGTTATAGATTTCTCAAACAATAACATTCACGGAGAAATATCTTCAACCATGGGTCATCTAACTTCCCTTGGATCATTGTTACTCCACAGGAACAAGTTATCTGGTCCACTCCCCACCTCACTGAAGCTATGCAACAGATTAATCTTTCTTGATCTTTCAGAAAATAATTTGTCCGGAACCATACCAACCTGGATAGGTGACAGCCTGCAGTCTCTGATTCTCCTCAGTTTAAGGTCCAACAACTTTTCTGGTAAAATTCCCGAGCTACTATCTCAGCTTCACGCTCTTCAAATTTTAGATATTGCTGATAACAATCTATCAGGCCCTGTACCCAAATCCTTGGGAAATTTAGCAGCCATGCAGTTAGGCAGGCACATGATACAACAGCAATTTAGCACCATTTCGGACATCCATTTCATGGTTTATGGTGCAGGTGGTGCAGTCTTGTATCGGTTGTATGCATACTTATACTTGAATAGTCTACTTGCTGGCAAGCTTCAATATAATGGAACTGCCTTCTATATTGATCTCTCTGGTAACCAATTAGCAGGGGAGATTCCTATTGAAATTGGATTTCTATCTGGACTAACGGGTTTAAATTTGTCAGGAAATCACATAAGAGGGAGCATTCCAGAGGAGTTGGGAAACTTAAGAAGTTTAGAGGTGCTTGATCTCTCCAGGAATGATCTGTCAGGCCCAATTCCACAGTGCTTCCTGTCATTGTCTGGTTTGAGCCATCTGAATTTATCATACAATGACCTTTCAGGAGCTATACCATTTGGAAATGAACTTGCAACTTTTGCAGAAAGCACATACTTTGGTAATGCACATACAACTGTCAAGAAGCTGTTTGTACCACAAAAGGAAGCATCAACTAAACTTTGACACGGGAACATACTTAAGTGCACTGCTTGGGTTTGCATTTGGATTCTGTATTATGTTCGTCATCCTGATACCCTACATGGTTGCATGAAAGACTCTTATGATAGCCTATGCTTTGGATTGGCTATTATGATATATGAAGATTTTGTTTTATAGTTAGTTGAGCATTGTAATGATTTTATCCGAACATATTTGACAGGTGGGTTAAGCGGTGTAATGCACTAAGGCTTAGCTCTTTTCAAATTATTACTCCATCCGTTTCAAAATGTATGGCACCATTGACTTGTCGCATAACGTTTGACCATTTATCTTATTATCAAAAATATATAAATATTATTTATTTTGTTGTGACTTATTTTATCATCAAATAAAATCGACTATAATTTTACATATTTATACTATATCTTTTAATAAGACGAATGGTCAAACATTGTGGAAAAGTCAACGGCATTATACTTTTTGAAAAGGAGGTAGTATTATTTCTCAGATTATCGAAACAGATTATTTGCTCTATATTTCGAAGAATAATTTAAAAACAGATTAGTTTTTTTCAAGGATCTGTTTAATAGGGGTTTCAAATCCAGTCGATAGGTTTATTCAGAAAACAAGCAATTCAAGAACCAACTTCAAATGGAACAGGTTTAAAAGGAGTGCTCAGGACACTAAAAAGCTTCTATCTTTGACTTGGAAGACAGCTCACTAATACTACCTTGACACATGTGATTTTTTTGACAAATGTTTGACTATTTGTTTTATTTATTTTTTTAAAATATAAAATATTTCCATTCAACGATAAATCAAGTCACAATAAAATAAATGATAATTACATAAACTTTTTAAATAAAATAAATTGTCAAACATATCCTAAAAGGAACAGCATCGTATATTAAAAACCGGAGGGAGTAAGAGTTAGGCGTCGATAGAGCATTAATTCGGTCGTTTCAGGGCTTCTATAGCCGGCCCGGTGACGACATCCTCTGGATACACTCGCAAGGCCCACTAGCTAGCGAGCCCCCTTCGTTCCTCTGATCCTCTCCGCTTCACGCCGTGCTCGAGCCGAGCGATCGATCGATCCACCCGCACCGTGCACCCGGCCGGAATGGAGGTGGCGGCGGCGGGAGGTGGTGCCCGCCGCCGCTCCCGCCGCCGCGCGGAGCAGCCCCCGCCGCCGTGCAGGCCAACCAACGACGACGACGCCGCGGCCAGCAAGCTGTGAGTGACCTACCGACCGACCCACCCCCTTCCCTTACCTCTCCATTCCGCGCACGGCTCCTCTGTTGTTGCGCGGATGCTGCGCTCTCTCTCTCTCTCTCTCTCTCTCTCTCTCTCTCTCTCTACCACTGCGGCGTGGTTGGTGGTTTCGAATCAATTCGGTTCGGGGCGTGCTGTTTGTTCCGCGCTGTGTTGCGGTAGAGAGGCAAAAGCGAGATGTACTTTGATATTGATGATGTAATGGCAAGGGGCGTGTGGTTTTAACCCTAAGATTTTGTGTTCAATCCGCTCACAATTTCTTCTTAAAAATATGTTTGGAGGGATGTATTTCCTCCAAATCTCCTTTTATTATTATTTTTGGACCTAGGCAAAAGCAAGAGAAGCCTGTAAACCTGGTGCTGAATCGTGATGCTAAAAAAATGTCATAACAAGCAGGAGAGATGGTTTGAACAGTTTCCATTGATGCTCCCGAGTTGCACACACCACTTAGGTGCCTCTTTCCGGCGAGGGTTCATGCAATAAATAATTGTAATGATAAATTGGTGACAAGGGAGCTATTCCTATTTCACCAATTTGTATTGAAAGACGTCCTTTTATTGCGCGGCATAGTTGGCCGGCCACTTACATATATATAGTTGTATGTGTTCTTAATTTTTCCCTGTTTGTTTGGAGCGGATTGATGCTTTAGATAGCGGTTAGCCGATATTGAGTGGCATTGGCACCCTCAACTTCTAGTGCTTATGTGGGCTAGTAGCGTTCGTAACTTCGTATAAAGAGACGATCTACCTTGAACTCTTCAGCATGCATTTATGAGACTGTATAGGCCAATATCTTGAACAATGAACAAATAAATGTATAGACAGTGCAAAAAACATGCATGCAAGATGTGGGGGTATTGCTTATACACTTATGTCATTGTAGGTTGCATAGTAGAAATCACCCATTTCCCTTTGCAGGTCATGTGTTAATAAAGGATACATGAAGGATGATTATGTGCATTGTTAGGCAAATAACAAAAGGGGCTCCAATAATAAATTGAGGTATGTAGTACCTCATTGAATCTTTTATCTGCTTCTCTACAATTGGAAATTCTAATTTGTTTTCCTTTCCAAATAACTCTGTGAACTATGCACGTTGATCTGTTCTTGGGAACCTTCTGCGTCAGTTCCTCAGTGCTGGAAATGTCAGGATGGTCAAAAGAGGAAACAGAAACTTGGTGCTGCTTTGATACGACATTCTTCCAGTTGCAGAAAAAGACAGAGCCCACGCACGACGTGGATATAGGGACAGCTTGACTTCATGAGTAGACTTTGATTGCCTGAGTCTTTAGGTTGGGGTTCAAGGTCTGGAAGAGAATTACACATGACTTTAACCCCGTCTTTGGCTCTTCTCTTCTTATATCTACTCTGGCCTTCATGGAAACTTGACTAATCAATACCCTAGCAACTTCTGTGATAACTAATCAGAAGCTAACTTGACAGTGCTAGTCACAGGCTCTACTGGATGTCCGTGATGAGAGGAAGGATGCAAGGGGTGTGGCTTGCAGCATTAATCTCCCTCCTTTGCCACTCTATCGCAAACGCAGGGAAGGAAGCCGCTGCTGCTGTGTGCATCACCAGCGAGAGGGATGCTCTGCTTGCCTTCAAAGCAGGCCTTTGTGCTGACTCCGCTGGTGAGCTGCCTTCCTGGCAAGGCCACGACTGCTGCTCATGGGGTAGCGTGTCCTGCAACAAGAGGACTGGCCATGTCATCGGCCTTGACATCGGCCAGTATGCTCTTAGCTTCACAGGTGAAATCAACTCATCTTTGGCTGCTTTGACTCATCTACGGTACCTTAACCTGAGTGGAAACGACTTCGGTGGTGTGGCCATCCCAGACTTCATAGGCTCCTTCAGCAAGTTGAGGCATCTTGATCTCTCCCATGCTGGTTTTGCCGGGTTGGTTCCTCCTCAACTTGGCAATCTGTCAATGCTCAGCCACCTTGCTTTGAACTCCTCTACGATCAGAATGGATAATTTCCATTGGGTTTCTCGCCTCCGTGCCCTCAGGTACTTGGACCTCGGCAGGTTGTATCTTGTTGCATGTTCAGATTGGTTGCAGGCAATCAGTAGTCTCCCTTTGCTTCAAGTGCTTCGCTTGAATGATGCATTTCTCCCTGCCACCAGTTTGAATTCAGTTTCTTATGTCAATTTCACGGCCCTCACAGTGCTTGATCTTAGTAACAATGAGCTGAATTCTACTTTACCAAGGTGGATCTGGAGCCTGCATTCTCTTTCTTACTTGGACTTGTCTAGTTGTCAGCTTTCTGGATCGGTTCCTGATAACATAGGGAACTTGTCCTCCCTGAGTTTTCTTCAGTTGCTGGATAACCACCTGGAAGGAGAGATACCGCAACACATGAGTAGATTGTGCAGCCTGAATATCATCGACATGTCTAGAAATAATTTATCAGGGAATATTACAGCAGAAAAGAATCTGTTTTCCTGCATGAAGGAGCTGCAAGTTCTCAAAGTTGGCTTCAATAATCTAACTGGAAATCTATCTGGTTGGCTTGAGCACTTGACAGGTTTAACTACTCTTGATCTCAGCAAGAACTCTTTCACTGGACAAATACCAGAAGATATTGGCAAGTTATCACAATTGATTTACCTGGATCTTTCATACAATGCATTTGGGGGTAGACTGTCTGAAGTCCATCTTGGCAATCTATCTAGGTTGGATTTCCTGAGTTTAGCATCAAATAAACTGAAAATAGTAATTGAACCCAACTGGATGCCAACTTTTCAACTCACAGGTCTAGGACTACATGGTTGCCATGTAGGACCCCACATCCCTGCCTGGCTGCGATCACAAACCAAAATTAAGATGATTGATCTAGGAAGCACAAAAATCACAGGTACATTACCTGATTGGCTCTGGAACTTCTCTTCATCAATCACTACCTTGGATATCTCAAGTAACAGCATCACTGGCCACTTGCCAACAAGCTTGGTGCATATGAAAATGTTGAGTACTTTCAATATGAGATCAAATGTACTTGAAGGAGGCATTCCTGGTTTACCAGCTAGTGTTAAAGTGCTGGATCTATCCAAAAACTTCTTGTCTGGATCCTTACCACAAAGCTTAGGAGCCAAGTACGCTTATTACATCAAGCTCTCAGATAATCAACTGAATGGAACTATCCCAGCATATCTTTGCGAGATGGATTCGATGGAATTAGTTGACCTCTCAAACAACTTATTTTCAGGTGTTCTACCAGATTGTTGGAAGAATTCCTCAAGACTGCATACCATTGACTTTTCGAATAATAATCTTCATGGAGAAATACCTTCAACCATGGGTTTCATAACCTCCCTTGCAATATTATCTCTTAGAGAGAACAGTTTATCTGGCACATTACCCTCCTCATTGCAGTCATGTAATGGATTGATCATTCTCGATCTCGGATCTAATAGTTTATCAGGAAGCTTACCATCATGGCTGGGTGATAGTCTGGGCTCTCTGATTACTCTATCTTTACGCTCAAATCAATTTTCTGGTGAAATACCTGAGTCACTGCCCCAACTTCATGCCCTGCAAAATTTAGATCTTGCTTCTAACAAATTATCTGGTCCTGTACCACAATTTCTAGGAAATTTAACATCCATGTGCGTTGATCATGGATATGCTGTCATGATTCCTTCCGCCAAATTTGCTACAGTTTATACTGATGGACGTACATATTTGGCCATACACGTATACACTGATAAACTTGAGAGTTACAGCTCAACGTACGATTACCCGCTAAACTTTATTGATCTATCAAGAAATCAATTTACAGGAGAAATCCCCAGAGAAATAGGAGCAATATCTTTTTTGCTTGCCTTGAATCTATCAGGAAATCACATACTTGGGAGTATTCCTGACGAAATTGGGAACCTCAGTCATTTAGAGGCACTTGATCTCTCGTCGAATGATTTGTCAGGATCAATTCCTCCGAGCATCACAGATTTGATTAATCTATCGGTTCTGAATTTGTCCTACAATGATCTGTCAGGAGTGATACCATGTAGCTCTCAGTTTTCAACTTTCACAGATGAACCATATCTAGGCAATGCAGATCTTTGTGGAAATTGTGGTGCCTCGCTATCAAGAATATGCTCGCAACATACTACTACTAGAAAACATCAGAATATGATTGACAGGGGGACATACTTATGCACTCTGCTAGGGTTTGCATATGGATTATCTGTCGTTTCTGCCATCCTCATATTCAGCAGAACTGCAAGAAATGCCTACTTCCAGTTCACTGACAAGACATTGGATGAGTTCCGTGCTATAGTTCAGATAAAACTCAACAGGATCAAAGCAGGAAGACGCCAATCCATGGAAATTTATCGTCTTGGCAGCCAGAACTCAATCACCTGCTACGAATTGGAATTTGGATATACTACGGAAGGTAACTAGTTTATGTTCTTGTATAACTTGTATGGTACTCCCTCCGTCCCAAAAAAAGATAAACCCTGGTTTCCGTACCCAATGTTTGACCGTCCGTCTTATTTAAACAAATTATGAAAAAAATTAAAAAGACAAGTTACGCACAAAGTATTAATCATGTTTTATCATCTAACAACAATAAAAATACGAATTATAAAAAAGTTTCATATAAGACGGACAGTCAAAGTTAGACACGCAATTCCAGGGTTTGTCTTTGACGGAGGGAGTAGGTCTGTAGACTGCTGGTTCAGATAGGAGATCCAAGTTTAGGTAATTCTGGACATCTGGACATCTGGTAATTCTGGACAGCTGGGTTCTGGTTCAGATACAACCAATGTAGTTCCTTGTTGTATACAAGATGCATGCATCACTACGTCAGTGTATCTTTGCCATGTTTTAATATAGTGCATCCAGAGTTTTTTTTTTTCTGTTTTTTTTTCTTTTGCGAGTATTATCTCCGTTATCCAGGTGCATAACTAGAAGTCCTTGTTTGAAGGACTTCCCGTCTACGTAATTTTCTTCTCGGTAGCGCCATCACTCCCGTCATTTTCTTCCTATGTAGTAGTAATAAAATTGTGTCATCACCAGGGTTCACCAAACCGTTTTGAATGGTGTTACCACCACCCCACGGTAAGGCGGTTATCGCAGTAACCGCGAGATTTACCATGGTTTCAAAAACTTAGAAGATTAGCTTCTTCGATGAAAGTTTTTAGTTAGAAATTTTTCGGATGAAAGTTTTTAGAAAAAAAAACGAAGTATATGCGTCGGAAACGAATACGGATGAAAACGGTCAGAAAAACCCTCTACCATTTTTATTTCCATATTTTTTTCTTGAAAACGGAATCGGAATGGTAGACCCGAAAACGGTAACGATATCGGTAATATTGGTATATCAAAAATGGCACCGTTGGAAGTCGGAAGTCGAAAACAACGGAGTGTGACATAACTATGCATGAAGATGACTTTATAACATTTTTGCATCATCACACTTCATATAACACTGTTATATGATGATTAATGATACGATAATAAGTTCAACGAACAATTTAAACAAAGTTTAACAATACTTCAACATTGATAAATTAAGTAGACCAAAGTTCAACAAAGTTCACATGCCATGCCTTAGGGTTAACAACGTTTTTCCCTAGCTACTTCCCGTTCCTAATGGGCCGCAAGCTAGCCAGGCTTCCAATGGGTTGGGCTGGCTGGGCCACTGGGGAACATTTAAAATTTTTTCGGAAATTTGACGGAAATTTCCGGACAAATACGGTTATCGACGAAACAGTCGGAAAAACCTCCTTCTCATTTCCACTACCATTTCCAAAAGATATTGCCGTTTTTATTTTTGACACCAATAATTATTGATACCGACTGAAACGGTTGGTGCAAACTGAAAACGGCAGTTGGAAATCTCGGAAATTTTCGTACTGTTTTCACCCGTAGAAAAGAACGTGTACTCGGGTCGAGGTAGGTTAAGCCGTGTGCTTATTCAGGCCTTTCTTTTGTAAGGCCCAACAGAAAACGGACCCCGCTACTCCAACGGCCCGTTATCCTGCAGCCCAATCCGAACGGGACAGCTGCCCACGTGCGACCCATGTGTTGGGCCGGGCCGTGAATGCCAGCTACGTGCGGCCCATCTAAATCGGGTCGAGTTCTCGAGCTTTATTCCTCGAGGCCCATTAGTCCCTTCGTTTCCATCACGTCTCTCGTCTTCCTCTCCCCTTCACGCCGTGACCCAGCGATCGACCGGCCGGAATGGATGCGGCGGCGGCGGCGGCGGCGGCGGGAGGAGGAGGAGGGGGAGGCGGTAGCGTCGCGGCGCGGAGCAGCCCGGCGTCCGTGCAGGCCACCAACGACGACGCCGCGGCCAGCAAGCTGTGAGTGACCAACCCCGACTCCCCCCCTCTACCTCTCCAGCTCTCCTTCCCCTCGCGTAGTCGCATCCGCATGACCACCAGGTCTCGTGTGCTCCGCGTGATATTCTCTCCTTTGCACGAGGCGCCATCGGGAAGCGGTCGCCCCTGTGCTTGTTTGGATCAATCCGCGGTCGCGCTATGCTGCTACTGTTTGTTGCGCTAGTGAATACCCTGACAAAATGGAATACCGTGACAAAATGAAGCCAAAGCCATGCTGAATCGTGATGCTAAAATGCAATTATTGTACTAAGCAAGAGGGATGGTTTATACAGTTTTTATGTGAAGATCCAGAATCGCGCTCCACTTAGGTGACCCTTTTCTGCGTAGGACCATGCAATGTCGTATAACCACTCCTTTGAACTGATTCTATTTTTATTTCTCTCTGCAATAAATCAGTGTGTAATGGTAGGAAAAGAGCTATGTGCCTCTTTTACCAATTGCCTTGAATGAAGTCCTTCTGTTGAGTGGATCAGCTAGCTTGCAACTTTATATATTCTTGTGTGTTTCAGAAGAAATTTCTTGATATTTTCTTGCTTATTTGTTTGGAGTGAATTGATGCTTTAAGTACTGGTTTGAAGAAATTGATTGGGCATCTCAACTTCCAGTGCTTATCTGGCCTACTGACCTTGGTATGCAGAGCAAATGATCTACCTTCACCTCTTCTGCCTATGACATTGCAGAGGCCGCTATCTTGAACAATGAACAGATAAATGTAACACGGTCCATGTTATTCAATATGCATGGAAAGTGTGGTGTATTGCTTATACATATAGATGTCATTGTAGTTTTCAAAGTAGAGGTTGACTGTTGCTGCTTGCTATATGCCATACTCATTTTCATTTTTCCTTTGCAGGTCATGTGTTAATAAAGGATACATGAAGGATGATTATGTGCACTTCTTTGTCAGACGAACAACAAAAAGGGCTCCAATAATAAATCGAGGTTGGTAGTGCCTCATTGAATCTTTATCTGCTTCTCTAAAATTGAAAATGTTTGAAAATTCTAATTTGTTTACCTTTCCAAATAACTCTGCAAAGGGTACTATGCACGTTGGTCTGTTCTTAGGAAGCTTCTGCATCAGTTCCTCGGTGCTGGAAATGGCAGTAATGATCAAAACCGGAAACAAATATTATCTCTTGGTGCTGGCTTTGACACGACATTCTTCCAGTTGCAGGTTATCCATTACTCACTATTCATGAGCATCACAATCACATGCTTACGGCCCATTATCAGATCTACTGTTTGATCTGAATAATTTATATCATTTTTATTTAACTCTGTATGCCCTTTGTTACTATAAACTAGTTAAATAGGTTCCAGTACGCCTTGCATCTTAATCATATCCTGCTTTGGTGGAGGCAGTGTTTAAGATCAAACTTCACAAAGTATATTGGTATATTTTTAATATCAATTCATCTCTCTCAGTCTGTGCTGTATTTGTTACTGTAGGACGAAGGCATTGCTCCATACCTTTATGTTGAGTTGGATTTCAAGGAGGTAGATAAAGTTTCTTTGCTATTTTCAAGTGTAGCATAGTACTCTGCATAATGTGATGCATGTAATGGCAGCGGAGCAGCTTGTTCTCTTTGTGCATAAGTAACTTTTCTGGCAACTTTTGATGATTGGCAGGTAACCAGCAAAAAGGCTGCCATCATTAACCACTATAGTCAAATGAAGGAAAAGTTAGGACCAGAAGCTTCGATATCAATTGGTAGTTCTCTCATTTGCATATGATACTGTCGATTAATGCCTACCCTGTTTATATCTAAGGATCTTCCCCACTAATGGTTCTACCATGTTCTTTCTATATGTATCTACCGTAATACTTGGTGCCTTTTTCTTATATGCATCTTTAGCAGAAATAAGTGTCTAATGACAATTAAGGAATGTGTGCTAATTTACTTAGACCCAGCTTCAACCATCTAGAGGCCATTCTCCACATCTAGAGGCTAATTTATTTGTTTTTTGTTTGCCTGAATCCATCTAGAGGCCATTCTCCACGTTTATGTTGATTTATTCAGTACCTTTTTTGTATAAAGTTCCTGTTATATTTTCTCTTGGAGGTAGCTATTTCATTCTGTTTGTAAGAATGTTTCTCTTGGTATAACTTAATTGACAGCATAATGGTCTTAGTGACCAAAATGATTTATACCCTGGCCAGAATTGTGAGTTGAAGTGAACTTTCCATATCACAGAATTTGCTATTTTCTATTTTCCGTGTTCTGATATTAATTGATAATGGCCAAATATTTCAGAAAAAGGTGAAGTGAGAAGTGCGCATTACAAGCTCTTTTCTGCTGATATTCGTGACATACCAAAACTTGATTCAGTTATTCAGATGGCTGAAATGGACCCTACGTAAGTTTTTTTTTTTTTTTTGTTCTTTGTTGTTGTGGTATATCTTTATGGTTTACAATGAGTGCAAGTTCAGTTAGCTTCATAATTTATGCCCTCTACGTTTTTCGCTTATGTTATATTTTATAACTAAATTTTCCTGTTATGCCATGTATAATTTACTTGTCAGAACATAAATGTTCATGTTTTGTTCTATTTCATATGTCATAGCTTGTCCTATTTTTAGAGAAGTTTGATTAATTATTCAAGTGCCCCTTTTAGGAGTTAGCTCATTTAATCAGCCAATGAACTTATGCTGTACACCTCTTGCCTATAGGAACATTGTCAAGTCAGATACCTGCATCGCGTAGCCTTTGTCTCTAACACTTGAATCATGATCAAATTTTCAAGTTCTTAATAAATCTTTCTGTTGTCATCAGCTTGCCGACCTTTATAATTGCAGAGTGTGTGCTAATTTACTTAGACCCAGCTTCAACCAGTTCTATTGTTATTTGGGCATCTGATAAGTTCTCCACTGCCATATTTTTCTTATATGAGCAGGTGAAATCATTCTCTCATTTGTACTCTTCCACTCTCATATGTGATATATTTTTGCACTATTGACTTCTACTCTGATGCAGATCCATCCAGATGATGCATTTGGAGAGCAAATGATTATAAACCTTGAGGTACCTTTGTTCATTCTTGTAGATTGTCCATGAACCTTTGTAACCTGTAATCCTTTATTCCCTTGTGGTGCATGAGCCATTTGCCCCTGAGGTGTAATGGAATGTTTATAGGAGAATTGCATGATTGCCACATGGATTTGTTCGAGAAGTAAATTTAATCAACTGCAGACCTTTTTGTATGCCAACAAGAAAGTACAACCAACTATACAATACCTAAAAAATAGACCTCCTTATTTTTTGTGCTTCCAATCATAGTACCTTTATAGTACCTTTGTTAAAAGAAGGAACATATATATCTTAAAATTCCAAAGAGTCGGGCATATTTAGTTCCAAAGAGTCGGGTAAATATCTCTGAGCGGAGTCAAAGAGGCCTACTTAGTTCCAAAGAGTCGGGCATATTGCAGGTTTCCTGATTGAACAATTCGGTTGTGGCCTTTGATTCTCATAAACTATCCTTATACAAGAGCTGTTGGACCTATATTAAACAATGAACTGCTAATTATTGCTGCATGACAATTGAAGGAGGCAGTATAAGAAGTTATTAGCTTATTATGCACATAATGAAGGCAGCCTGAAATTACAAACATGACAAGTTGAAGTTTGAGATGAAATATTTGTAGTCATTTGTGTAAATAACTTCTGTTTGTGGATCTTAGTTTATGGAGGGCATCTTACTGTATGATTTAAGCTAGGTGATGTTTTGCTTGTTTTTGGTTGGTACCTGTCTTTTTGTTTCTCATGGACAGATATATTGAGGTGCTTATTACTTTATTCATAGCATTATTCTATAGCTCAATGCCTTTTGTTGTCCTGCTAATGCAGAGTAGAGGATGCCCTCTCCTTGGTATAAATGCTACACCAACCCTAAGTCACAAGGAAAATCTTTTTCTTGATCACGGATGGCAGGTATATTTGGTCAAGACTCAAGACACAGTTTGAATATGATTTGTTTCTAGGGATTTACTGATTGGTTTTGCAGAGAGCTGTTGCATGGGATATGCTAAAAATATACAATGATTTCATTGACAGTGAAGAAAGACGCAGGTAATATTTCTGATGTATGATGCTGAGTTTCTGAGTTTTACATTTGATCTTCACGAAGGACATTATGTTAAATCTTGCCTCACATAACATCTATTTTTTTTTTGTAACACCCATGAAATTGCATGGTTGCAGGATTGAACGATTGGAATTGTTTGATGAGTTCGAAGAGTGGCATATGATGCAGGTAAGTTCATGAGAATTTCCACTTATTGGTGAGGGATCCCGTACAAAACTAGCAGCTTGTGTATCAACTCCACTTCTTCATTACATTGTCTCTTTTCTCAGGAACACTATTGTGTGGCTTATGGAATAAATGATGCCAAGGTTAGCATGCTATTATATCAGCGACCAAACGTTCTCTACAGAATACCTTCGTTACGCTCTGTCCATGATTCCAAGTGTACACAAAATGACCATTAGTTGTCTCTTCCACTTTCAGGGCCTGTTTGATGATTTTGGGTTTAAGGACTAGCACTCGTCGTGCTCTTTTTGATATCGAACTGAGACAAATTCAACTGGGAATTCCTACTGTTTCCTATGCAGAGAAACGTACTTGAAGTGTGTGAAATGTTTGGCAGAATATGAGAGATGATGGCTATAACAACATTGTACATATTCTGTTTGCAGATACTTGGTTGTATCGATTGTCATGTTGTTATGTATGTTGCTTTTCTGCCTTAGCTGAATGGTTTTTCTGACGTTTCCAAACCCTTCGTATGGGCTCGTCATGCAATTGTATGGTCTGGAGAAGTATTGTCTTACCGTTCAGGCGTTTTATCTGTCTTTGGTTTTATCTCTGCTTGTTCAATAATACAGCTTATCCGAGTATGTTTCTCGTTGATGAACCAAAGATCATCTACAAATCAGGAAACGGAGTAAAAATGAAATGGAACAAAACCAGGATTAAGCGAACAAGGCAGAGATTACTGATTCCAGAAGGCTTTTCAACTTCTCTTTTTGCAAACTTTATAGCTACAAAGTATCTGAAATTTGTAAACCCTCGTAGCTCAATGGGTTTTACTTTTCTTGATGAAAAATGGAGCATTGCATTTTTAGTGTTTTTTGTGCGGTTGCAGGATAATGTGTGACTAAGGTGTTTTCAACTGAAATTGCTGAAGTTTCTTCTCAAACAGAAACTTTGCTTGCAACCTGAGATACTTCAGCAAAACACGTGGAATATTGCGACATTCATGCGAAACTTTGCCCTTAATTCTGTTTTGCAAATGCCTAGCTGAATTGCTGTGTCTCAAATGATAACAGAATCACTTGAAATGTAGTACTCTTTCAATTGGTCCGGCTCAAAATTGACATGAAAATTGGCTCAATTTATGCTGAAAATTCATCGATTCAGTGGGATATTTTCATATTAGACCCTGGCCTTCCTTATTATTTTGGGAAAATTGGAACTATTATTTTTGTCTTAGTCCTCCCGCCGCCGCCTCCTCCTCAAGCTCTCAACACGGCGGCGGCCGGCCGGCGATCCCCCGCCGCGAGAGGCCACCGGGATTCGAGATACTCCTCCCAGCTCGAATACGCGCATCCCGCACACCATTCCACCCCCGCATTTGACGCTGGGAGCCAACCCATGGCCCCATCACCCGGCTCCCATGGGCGGCGGCAGTGGCGGCCTCGCGGAGGCGGCCGTCGGGCGCGCGGCGGCGCTAGCCCCTCGGGCAAGTGCTCCGCGGCGGACCAGCCCAACCCTCCTACCACCTCCTCGCCGTCTCCGATGCAAACAGCGGTGGCGAGCACCTCCTACTTGGTAACCTCTCCACTATTTTCTGCTCCATTGCTAATGCAAATCGTTGCACAGATGCGGCAAATGTTTAAGTTACTTCCTGCTTTTATTCCCCAGTGATGAGTGATAACTAATTTCTCGTATTGACTCATGAGAGATGACCATTGACCAAATAAACCTTCGCTATTGGTTGATTTGTTAATTTAGCGGGGTCATTAGGGTGTAGTCAAATCAAGCCAGAAGATCATTATAAGTTTATAACATTTTTTTTATCTGAGATAAGAGATATGGCCGTGTATAAATGTAGATTAATTGCTCTGGTCTTTGGTCTTGTTGCAAGAACATTATCTTGATAAAACTATGTCTCTATTAAATGCAACTCCAGGTTAAATTTGAGTCAATACTAAGAGTAGTTTTCATAATAATGAAAGCTGGCATTTGTTGATCATCTTATCCTGCAGGGTGCTGATGCGAGCCAGGTGGCTCATATAGTCTGTGTTTCTCATATAAATCCCCATTAGCTTCAAGGTTACCACTTACCAACACCGTGATCATCATGCGCCTTGCACTGATTTCTTTGTTGCCCCTGTTGCTGGTGGCCTCCAAAATCACAGCAGCAGCAGCATGCATTGGAAAGGAAAGAGATGCACTATTCGACTTGAAGGCCACCCTGAGAGACCCTGGAGGCATGCTGTCCTCTTGGGTAGGTCTAAATTGTTGCAACTGGTATGGCGTGACTTGCAACAACAGGACTGGACATATTATCAAGCTCAACCTCGCAAACTATAATATCAGCAAGGAGGATGCTCTAACAGGTGACATCAGTCCATCATTGGTTCATTTAACTCATTTGATGTACCTCAATCTTCGTTCGAATGATTTTGGAGGTGCAAGAATCCCTGCGTTCATAGGATCTCTGAAGAACCTGAGGCATCTTGACTTGTCCTTTGCTAATTTCGGTGGGAAAATTCCCCCTCAGCTTGGAAACTTATCTAAGCTGAATTACCTGGATATTAGCTTTCCTTATAACAACTTTAGCAGCTTTACTTCCAGTAGCTCTGTTGACAATCTTCTTTGGGTCTCTCAGCTTTCTTCACTGGTTTACCTTGACATGTCATTGTGGAACCTTTCTGTGGCTTCAGATTGGCTGCAGTCTTTGAACATGCTTGCTTCCCTCAAAGTGCTTCGTTTGTCTGGTACCAATCTTCCACCCACTAATCAAAATTCTCTATCCCAGTCTAACTTCACAGTTCTCAATGAAATTGATCTATCAGGCAACAACTTCAGCTCTAGATTCCCGAATTGGTTGGCAAGCATATACACTCTGTCATTAATTAATTTGGACTATTGTGAGCTGCATGGCTCAATTCCTGAATCTGTGGGAAATTTAACTGCCCTTAATACCCTTTACTTGGCTGACAACAGTTTGATTGGAGCAATTCCAATATCTAAGTTGTGTAACTTGCAGATCCTTGATTTGTCGAACAACAACCTTATAGGTGATATTGCTGATTTGGGGAAGGCAATGACCCGCTGCATGAAGGGACTATCTATGATCAAATTGGGGAATAATAATCTATCTGGAAGTCTATCCGGGTGGATTGGATCCTTCCCAAACCTCTTCTCAGTCGATCTCAGCAAAAACTCACTATCAGGTCATGTACATACCAATATCAGTCAGCTCACAGAGTTAATTGAACTGGACCTTTCTCACAATTCACTCGAAGATGTCTTGTCTGAACAACACCTAACAAATCTAACTAAGCTAAAAAAGCTAGATTTATCTTACAATTCCTTGAGAATTTCTGTGGGAGCAAATTGGTTACCACCCTTTCAACTTTATGAACTCCTTTTAGGTTCTTCCCCACTACAATCACAAGTCCCGCAGTGGCTTCAAACACAAGTTGGAATGCAGACATTAGATTTGCACAGAACGGGGACTCTAGGTCAATTGCCTGATTGGCTTTGGACGTCATTGACCTCTCTCATTAACTTGGATCTCTCTGACAATCTGCTTACTGGCATGCTACCAGCATCCCTGGTTCATATGAAGTCACTGCAGTTCTTGGGGCTCAGCTCGAACCAATTGGAAGGTCAGATTCCTGATATGCCAGAAAGTCTAGACCTGCTAGATCTCTCCAACAACTCTTTATCTGGATCATTGCCCAATAGTGTGGGAGGGAACAAGACACGTTACATTTTATTGTCAAGCAATCGTCTAAATAGAAGCATACCTGCGTACTTTTGCAACATGCCATGGTTGTCAGCAATAGACCTATCAAACAACAGCTTATCAGGCGAGCTACCTAATTGTTGGAAGAACAGCACAGAACTATTTTTGGTGGATTTCTCGTACAACAACCTGGAAGGACACATACCTTCAAGTCTTGGCTCTCTTACTTTTCTTGGTTCCCTGCATTTGAACAACAATAGGCTATCTGGGTTGTTGCCTTCCTCTCTAAGTTCATGCGGGCTTCTGGTTTTCCTTGATATTGGAGATAATAATTTGGAGGGTTCCATACCTGAATGGATAGGAGATAACATGCAATACCTCATGATTCTTCGTTTGCGATCAAATCGTTTCACTGGAAGCATCCCGTCTGAATTGTCACAGCTTCAAGGTCTTCAAGTGTTGGATCTTGCCAATAACAAGCTGTCAGGGCCCCTGCCACAAGGTATTGGAAATTTTAGTGAAATGGCTTCACAGAGGTCAAGACATATTATACCGATGCAGATTTCTGGTGATAGTTTTGGTGGATCTCTCTATCACAATGAGAGTCTATACATTACCATCAAAGGAGAAGAAAGATTGTATTCTAAGATCCTTTATCTGATGAAGAGCATTGACCTTTCTAACAATTATCTAACAGGTGGAATTCCTGCTGAAGTTGGAGATCTTGTAGGGCTCAAAAACCTGAATCTCTCGAAAAATCTCCTGAGTGGTCATATTCCAGAGACAATTGGTAATATGAGTTCATTGGAGTCGCTTGATCTCTCATGGAACCGACTGTCAGGCATAATTCCTGAAAGCATGACATCACTGCACTTGTTGAGCCACCTGAACATGTCCTACAACAATCTGTCCGGGATGGTACCCCAGGGCTCTCAGCTTCAAACCCTTGGTGATGAAGATCCATACATCTATGCTGGCAACAAGTATCTCTGCATCCATCTTGCTTCTGGCAGCTGTTTTGAACAGAAAGATAACCATGTTGATCAAGCAGAGCATAATGATGTCCATGATATCTGGCTGTATATATTTTCAGGATTGGGCTTCGGAGTAGGATTTTCTTCTGTGTGGTGGCTTCTTGTGTGCAGCAAGGCAGTGGGCAAGAGGTATTTCCAGTTCGTCGACTCCACATGTGAGAAAGTTATTCACTGGATGATCCTACTGGAGAAGAAGGTGAATAAGAAAACAGTGGGAAAAAGTTCGGTATTGTGAAAGTTTGCCCTTGAAACTGCTGGCTTAAAAAAAAAAATCAAATATGCAATGGCGTTTGCACATCATTCTAAATTCGTCTTAATGACTGGACAAGAATGTGCATCAGCTTATGTAGAGTCTGTCTGTATGAGTCTTCTTTTATGTCCACTTTCTTCATGAATTCTTCTTCATTTTGGTGTTGCGTTTAGTTTGTATTGAAACAATTGCTAGGTGGTGTGTGATAGACAATGGCAGCAACACACAAACAAGAGAGATACTAAATGACTAATGTGTGCCGATGTTTGTTGGGTTCTGATGTTCCAGACTTCCAGTGAAGTGTACTTCTTTAATTCTTTTAGATTAGTGAAGTGGGCCTGTACACGAATATTCTACTTGTTTACAGCGTGGAAGTGTTTGTCTTTTTTTTTTTATCTCACTTGATTGTCTTGGGAGAGTGACCATTTGCTATCATCAACATTAGAGATTCAATGGCATGTCACGGGGTTGTAATGGGTTCAAGTTTTTAGTCTACAAAATATGAGGGCTGAGCCTTGAAATGATTGGACTGAAATTTTGAATTTAGTAGTTTTTCGTGCTAATTTTTTTTTTAAGACTGAGGTGGGTAGTGAAAGGACCAATGAACCCTCCTGACCCATTACCATCCCTAGTCAATGCATATTTTCTTGTATTCCCTTTTAAGGACAATATACGAGTTATTAGAGCTAGTACTTTTTTTAATTGTATTATAGATCTTAACAGACTTCGTAGTATTATGTGGTGTCTAATATAATAGTATTACTATATTTTAAAACGAATAGAGTATTTATTGCTAGCTTCCGTTGTTTTAACCATATGATAAGGGTTAAGGACATGTTCTCGTGTATGTGTGTGCGTGTGGTGTACCTCTGTTACAAGCATATGTGCCTTCCATATAATCGCACAAATGAAAAGATTACAGCAGATTGTTAGTACACTCCAAAGTCCGATCAGTTCCTTGTTATGAAACAGATTCTCAGCAGTAATACTTTATTTTTGGACTTTATAAATAATAACTACTGCCTCCATTCCATTTTAAATGCTGTTTAATATTTAATTGTCCATCTTATTTAAAAGTTTTATATATTTTTTAAAAGTAAGTCATGACTATATTTAAAATTAGATGTTATGATTGCATTTAAAATGAGACGGATGTTATAATACATGGGTCCCACGTCAATGAACAGATCAAAGTACGACTCATCCTAGAGCGGTCGAGCCGCACCAACGCCCGAACCGACTCGGACCGGACGCATCGCGTCGCCTCCTCTTTTTTTCTTTCTTGCGGTGGCGGCCAAAGCCAGCGAACACCTGAGCTCTCTCGCCGCCGCGCCGCTTAGGGGTTTTCCGCCGCCGCATCCGCCGATCTCCCCGCCGCCATGGACGCCTCTCTCATGGGCTCCCCCTCTCCCGCCGCGGGCGACGCCCCCACCTCCGGGGAGCACCGGATGGGGACCACCATCGTCGGCGTCTGCTACGACGGCGGCGTCGTCCTCGCCGCCGACTCCCGGACCAGCACCGGTACGCTCCCCCGATCCCCCACCCCCGATCCGACCCTTGTTTATGCTAGGTTGCGGTGGATTTTTGTTATTAGCGCATCTGGTTCCTGCCATCCATCCTGCTTCCCATGTTTAGGTCATGGATTTTGTGAGATTAGGCGACGTGTTTAGCGTTTGCTGCCGGATCGGATAATGTATCTGTCAGTGGAAATTGGTTCGTGTACCACTAATGTGTTCTGCCTAAATCAGCATATTATGGATGGATAAGTACAAAAATTGGTGTGACCTGATATATGAAAAATTGGTATTGTCGTGTGTTCGGTTGATGTAGAATTAGGGGAAGTTGGGTACAACCTCTATTGTTCTGGTTGAGTTCACTGTTCATTTATTTCTCATTTAACACTCAACAGTAAAGAATGAGAAAAGTATCATCCCATTGGTGTTTACGGTGATTCTGGTGTACCTAGGATCTTTTGCTTACATAGACTAGTAAGCTTAGTTGTTTTAGCCATGTTGCCTTATTAACTTAGCCAAATATTGGAGCATGTGGTTGATCCAATCGAAATCAATATTAAGTTGGTGTGCTCTGTCTGCTTGTCTATTTTTTCCCTTTAATTTAATTGCCTTTGTTATGTGGTGTTAATTCTTAGGAATGTATGTGGCGAACCGTGCATCTGACAAAATTACTCAACTGACTGACAATGTGTACGTCTGCCGCTCTGGATCTGTAAGTGCCTACATTGTTTAGAGTCTTGGGCCCCCTTCTTTATGTTGTTGCTTCGTGTTATTATTATATGCTGTAAAAAACATACTCTCTTCATTAAGCAAGATGTGATTATTTTTGTTTTACCATTGCATCTTATCTTGTTCATTTTCCCCTTGTCTTGGCTTGCCTGATGTAGCGGGAAATTATACCTTCTGAGTTACAGTCACATTTTCAATATTTTCTTTTCTGCTTCTTTTTCATAGTTGTTAATAGTCCAGTACTAAGTAAGTAAGTATTATCAGATACAGCATTTCCAATAGTTCACTAGTATTATATTTCTCATTGTCTCACAGGCTGCCGACACACAAGTCATTTCGGAATATGTACGCTATTTTCTCCACCAACACACGTAAGTTTGTTCTTGTGTAATTATAATATATCTATTAATGCTCTCTCCTTTTAAGCTAAGTAGGATGGCACTGAATGAACAATAATAAACTTAGATTTCATTAATTAACACAGTGAACTAGTAGTTACTGTGAATATTTGCTGTGCAAGATAGCCCATGCTAAATTTTCCCTCGATTTGCAGAATTCAGCTTGGGCAACCAGCTACTGTGAAAGTTGCAGCCAACTTAATTAGGTTGTTGGCTTATCAGAACAAGGTATATTTTCTGTAGCATTCTACGATACAAGAATTTCACTAATACATGAGATGAATTCTTTCTCTGATTCTTTCATACATTGATTTTAAGCTATTGTCTAATTGCCATATTGGTTTTTTCACCAATTTTCAGAACATGTTGCAAGCTGGCATGATTGTTGGTGGATGGGATAAATATGAGGGTGGCCAAATTTTCTCAGTCCCCCTTGGTGGAACAATTCTGAGGCAACCATTTGCAATTGGAGGTATGTTTCCCCCAGAAATATTATGGTGAATGTCTTTTCATTGGGCTCATAGTAATCAAATAAGAAATGTAGTCTCCACCTGTGTCTATATATCTATGTATCACATAAGAATAATTATCAGTTCAATAGTATAAGCCTATTAATGAGATTTATTTGCAAACTTACCTGAGCAGTATTTTTTTTAAGCAATGCATAAGCAATCATTTGAAATTAGCGCGATCCATTTCTTCCTTTAATGTCCTGCCATACTCTTTGATTACCATACTCCTGTGTAACCTGGCTTAGTTGTAGAACATTGATCATAAAATTGTCCGAGTCCCTACTTTACCCTATGTTATATCAATCACAGTTTCTGACGCTAGCCGTTATTTCTGAGTATTGCAGGTTCTGGTTCCAGTTACCTGTATGGACTGCTTGACCATGAATGGAAGGAGGGCATGTCCCAGGAAGAAGCTGAGGTACGCTTTACTTGTAAACCATGTGTAATAAGAGATAGTTTCTTCGATGCGTTAGGTAGAACGAAGTGCCTACGTTATGTTCAGTTCTTCCCACGTTAAGTCTAGGATCATAGAGTGCAAACACCATTTTCCATCACTTCAGTGCCCCCTGTATAATTATTTTTGCTTGTTCCACCTCATCTCTTAACTTGATTCTTCTCTTTCATCTCTACAGAAGTTTGTGGTGAAGGTGGTTTCCCTTGCTATAGCCCGTGATGGTGCTAGTGGAGGGGTTGTTCGTACAGTCACCGTAAGTGCTCTCTTTTTTCATCCCTATTGTCCTTGTTTGTTCCTTTATTGGAGACATTTTGAAACATCAGACTTCAGAGACCTGAACTGATTGTTTTAGTGGAATTCATACAAACATATAAATTTCTGTGCTATATTTGGCATGCTGTGCCAAAGAATCTTAAAGCGAAAACTATCGGCCTTTTAACTTCCAAGGACGGAATATTTCAGTGTGGTATTACCTCTTTGCTTCATTCAGACATGCTGTACTCTTGTGCTAAAATATGCTAGAGTGAGGTAGAGTGGACAACCTCATGTCTTTCTTGGCCATCTGTTTTGGTTGCATTTTCCGTAGCTTTCTTTTGCTGAATATGTTTGGTCAGTACAACTATGGTTTGGCAGTTTGGCAATGCAGATTTAAGTTTAGAGACATGTCCTGTTCTCTTCGTTCTACCCATCATGTTTCCAAAGGATTGGTGGATTACTTATGCATATGATCATGTTGCAGATAAATGCCGATGGTGTTTCGAGGAAATTTCACCCTGGTGACAAACTACCACTCTGGCATGAAGAGATGGAGCCCCAGAACTCGTTGCTCGACATACTTGCTGCTGGGAACCCTGATCCGATGGTCCAGTGATTCAGCCATACACCACCATTCTTTTCCAACTTTCTACTGTATCTGACTTGCTCTAGATTTTTACTGAACTGGACTGCAGAATTGTTCCACACCGACTTGTTGTTACTCTTTATTATTTTAACTTAGTAAATTCTCGGTTGCTCGGTAATGCGAAGTGTGTCACATTGGATTGGTCCGGTAGCCCGGTTACTGCAATGGGGTGGCTATGTTTTTGCAATGCGCTTTCAAACAATCTATCTCATATTTCTTTCTCCTTTGTTAGTATTTTCTTTTGTTTATGACGAACGATTGCGTGCTTCGCCTTCTACATGGAACTTGCAAATAAGATAAGTTAAGCGATGGACAGTGCAGAGACTCCAACGAAAATTCAGCTTGCGAGTGAAATGTTTCAGCGTCACAAAAACAGTTATCGCTTCAAGTAAGCCTTCCCAAGAGAAGAATATAGTATATCATGAACTACCAACTCAATAAATAGTCTCTCATTTCATCCAATTACATTCGACTTTACAAGTTTAATGTATTCTACATGAAGTCAGTGAGATTTTGTACAGTTTGGAATTCCTTTGAAGAATTATTGTGAATTTCTTTTTCTCCACCAGTCAGTTTGAATGGGCTGGGTGAGAAAATGCATCAAATAAACGCCGCATTTCTCACCCGCCCTCTCTTTCCCTCTTCTGTTCCGTCATGGAATATAGTACATTGGATTGGGAAGCTTGAAGGAGCGAGCGCTCGTGGAGAAACCCAGCAGGTCGCTCCATTGATCGCCGGAGTTGCCTAGGATCCTGTACCCCTCCTCTTCCATTTCCTTCCTCTTCTCCGATTTGTATATCGTCGCCGTCTTCTTGCGATCAGCTGGCGCCCTGGCCATTGTGAAAAAGAATGTGTTGTTCAAAATGTTCAGTATGTAGCTTGCAAAGTAAATTTTAATGTCCTTGAACATGTGGAACATATGTATAGTAGTTTCGACAAACGATATTCAGCAACAGTCCCTAGTTCTACTTCTACCAATCGTAATGTGGTGATGGCTCATGGTTTAATGTCGAATAATGCTGTAGTAATTGACTGATTGGTGAAGGTTTAGAATGAGGTGAAAAGCAAACTTTGCAGATGCTAAATTATGGCCGCAACAATGTTATATGAGCATTGGACAAAAGGGTAGCACAAAAGCATTGAACAAATAGATACTCCCTCCGTCCCAAAATACAAGAGATTTTGAATGGATATGACAGTCTCGTCCATTCAAAATCCATTATATTTTGGGATGGGGGAAATATTAAGCATCTGTCAGAAAAAAAGCCTACAGTAGCAAGCAAAGCATATTGTTTGGCAATGGGCGTAGGTTCTCTGCCTCATCCTCAATTCGGCGATTTAGGCGCCCTAATGGATGATTGATCCACATAATTATCCCTATTATAAAGACATCCTGATAACATCCACATATTTGAAGCAAATTACATACAGGTCAATGAAAATGGCAAATAATGAAATAATACTAGGGGTATGCCTCTGATTTTCTCACAAATGTCCTGGCTAAACGCAAAATATAATGCACAATCAAATCTTCTTAGAAAATATCATGCCTAGCGCAATTGCAAGGTGCAAATTTTGATAGAAATGTCATGACTCATGACGAACTGGAAATGTATAAAGGAGCAATTTTTGTTAGAGAATGGTGATGGCTAAATCATGGAATAGTTACCTTAGTATGAGCTTGTCCCAATCATGGAAGCCCTGCTTCTTGAGATTGTCGACGGTGACGCCGTGGTGCCCCTCGCTGCGGCCCGTGAGCAAGAAGGTCTTGAATCCAAGGTCGCGAACCTCATTGTACAGCTTCAAGCTGGAGGGGATCGCCGGCGCCTCCCCCCTCTCCACCCACTTGTCGAATTCCCGGTGGTCGAACAATTCGAGCCTGCCATTTTCAAATCAAGCAAGCAATCATGTCAGCATCTCAATTGAATAAATCGAACACACGCGCCCAACGATTTCGCAATTTTAGTCCCAATAATTCAAAATCAACTAATCAAGCACTCATATCAGCATATGGAAATTGACCAATTCGAACACATTCCCAACGATTTCGCAATTTTGTTCCCTATAATTCAAAATCAACTAATCAAGCGCTCATATCAGCATATGGAAATTGACCAATTCGAACACACGCCGCCCAACGATTTCGCAATTTGGGATTTGTGGAGCTGAGTGGGTGACCAAAAGAAAACTGACCCGTATCCGTGGTCGGCGTAGTAGGGGAGGTTGGAGAGGAGCGTCTCGTCGACGTCGAACACCCACGCGTCGCGGCCGTCGTCCCCGACGCGGGCGGTCCGCGCGTACGCGGAGGCCTCCCGCGCGACGACCTCGAGGTCGGAGCGGTAGGCCACGCCGGTGAGATACTCCCGCACGTAGGCGGCGCACTCCTCGGGCAGGGACTTCCACGGCGCGAGGTTGTTCGCCTCCCCCGCCAGCCTCCAGCTCGCGCACCTCACCTCCGCCGGCACCGCCTCCCCCTCCCCCTCCTCCGCCAAGGCCGGCGACGACGACGAGGTCGTCGTAGGCAGCTCGATGACGAGCGGGCGCGGCAGGAGGTGCGCGTCGTCGAACACCGCAGCATCGACACCCTCCGCGGCGATTGCAGCGGCGGAGAGGACGGCGACGACGACGACGATGAGGCTGACGACGCCGGCGCCGCCCCGGCGGCGGGCGCCGGCGTGGCGCGTCATGGCGATGAATGGAGCAAAGGAGGAGCGGCCGCCGGGGTCCGCGGCGTCGGAGATGGGTGGGGTGGAGGACGAGGTCGGTCTGCGCGGCGCGGCGGCGTGAAATAGGCGGGCGGCGAGTGGTGGCTCCGGTGTCTTCGCCGCGAGGGAAGGAGAAGGCGAGCAAATTTTTTTTTTCTCAAATCGAAAAAAGGAGAGGAGAGAGAGGGATTAATAGGAGGCGAGCCGGATTCGGTCGAAGCTTTATGGGAGAAGAAATTATTATACTAGTATTTATATTGTAGTATTTTTTAAATTTGGTTTTTGTTTTGGTTGGGGGGTGGCGTGCACGTGGCGGTAAACGATTGGTTGGGTTGTGTTGGCGCGGGTTTCGTACTTTCGTTTCGTGCGTGCGGAACGTGGGGTCGGTGGTCGGCTTTTGCTGATTCAGCAAACCGACGGCGTTGGCCTCTGCTCCTCACAGTACAAGCATGCTATAATTGTTTTTTTTTCTTTGAAGCAGGGTAAAAATGAGCAAAGCTATTTTTTTAAAGAAAAATGACAGAGTAAAAACTAACTTTTTTAGAGGGAATAGTTTGGTTATCCCTCTGGTACATAAATGTCTATCTATTCCTGAAAAATGTATTTCTTTTTTTATTTGTTCTTGAATATCTATCTATTCCTGAAAAAAGAAATGTATTTCCTTTTTTTTCTTCAATTGTTATAGAATATGTGTTTTAAGATATTCATCTAATGGGGGATATCAAAACAATAAAAATTGCACTATCTGCAAACGGATTAAATGTTCTGAAAGAAATCTACTATACACATTAATAGGGGTATATGTACATCGTCCTTTCTCATAGACTTTTATGTTTTCTTGGCCGGTTGGCCCGTACACACGGTGACCATGGTAGTCCCTTTCTCTTAAGACTTTATTAACCGAGGTGGTTTTGCCTCTCGGCTTGCACCAAACAGGCAAGACACTGTGGTAACCGATAACAAAAGAAAAAGGAAAGAAAAGAGGAAGGTAGTCAAGGCACTAATGCAAAAGAAAGAAAATTAATAAAAAGAAGAAGGTAGGCAATACACTAGCACAAACACAGCAAAAGAAAAGAAAAACAATGGAACAGGCAAGACACGGCAAAAGCTTTCACAAAAACTTCAGGAATAAGTCATTTGTCTCCATTTTTTTTGGTACAAAGAAAGCGTGCATCAGAACAGCACACGAGGCAGGGGCTTAATACAAAACCAAAAGAGAAAAAAAAAATACTAAAGCTTGCGTTGAAGTGTCTGAAGACCAATTCGTCCAACCAAAGCAAACCCTGGTTGGATCACGCTGCTTCTAACTAAGCCTTCCCATATATACATTCTTCGCTTTGAAGGAAACTTCCCTCATGCGGTTCACAGTTTCAGACTGAACAAGTAATCCCCTAGAAATATAGAATACACACATGTTACTTTCCCTGCATGCACCATCATCCTGGAGGTAGTGCATAAAAATATTTTGCAATTTGTAAACATCTCCACAAGACAGGACCCTATTTTCTGATTGATGTTCCAACACATACGGTAGTTTTCATAAGCAAGTTACTCAACTTATTCGGATTAGAGGGGCAACAACTGCATATATAGATATATGTACATGATAGACTAAGTAAGTGCTGAACATGAACAAAAAAAAAACGAGATGCGATGATGCACTACATAACTGATGCTATAACAGCAGCCTAGTTTGAACTTTGAACTAATCCTCTTCGAAATACTTCTCCTCCGCATCATAGTTGGCTTCTTTTGACCAATGGTCATCCAGCATCTCGTCGTTATCGATCCGAGAGTAGTCCATATGCTCAGAGTCTTCACCGGACAGGAACTTCTGTTGCATCAAGCTGGTAAACTGTTCAAGTTGATCCTCCATATCTTCAGCAGATAATGTTTGCTTGGAAGCCCCTGCAGTTTTGTTGGAGTCAACCACCTGCAGTTACAGATTGAAAGCAAGGACTCAGGGCGAGAACATATGATTACGATGATGTGACATAAGGAGTACTCGCAATGGAAATTGGGGAGTTATTGTCGTTAGAAAATAAGAGGTTCTCAGGTTGAACAAGAAATGTTCTTTTCCCAGAATGTAAAAACCAGAAACAATAGAAAAGCTTAATAAAAGCTGAGCTTCACATATGCAACAGATTGTGTCAATCTCTCATACTAGACAAAGAAATATGCAGTCAGCGTGGATCTAATTGAAGTCAGTAGATCATTCAACGCAAATGTGAAACACTGGAGCTGTCCAAGTTAACAGTCATTCCAATGGTCAGAGATAATACCACAAGATTGTACCTTTTACTATCTTATTTGTACCTCAATAATTACCAGGTGAAAACTATTATAGTATCAATGTTCCTTCAGTTGGTCCTAGACTTCAATGAGGGTACGAGAAAATAGAAAATTATCGATGTATGGAGGAGTTTGGGACAAAAGGAGTTCAGCAGCATAAGTTGGATCAACAGGTATAAAGTACTGGCCAAAGAAATTTTATATTTTCCAGAAATATGATAATATATAAAATCAACTGCTGAACTGCATATTTGTGCTGCGAAACACTATAATGCCCCCAAAAGATCTAGTTGCACCTATGACACAAGAATTGATTGAATGCACTTTTGTCCCATAAGGAACATTAGGCTTCGTATAGGAAATTAGCAGAGTTCAGGATAAAAGGATTCAGCAGTGGGAGTCAGATCATACAAGTGGAAGAAAGTTCTTTTTCAAGTAAAAGGTTAACCTAGTTCCTAAAAATGGCTGCTACATAAAGATATAACTAGTATGTAAGTATGTAACTAGCATTCCATGGTGAAGATTAAGACTCAAACCACAAAAAACCTAAGAATATATAGATTTCTAAAGGCTCCAGCTCCATATGCCCTTATACTTTGGCACATGACAACATAACCAAGAAGGGGTTCTTGTTATATAAGATGCCCCCAAGGTAAGCAAATTGTGAAAGCAGCTAACCTGACTTAAATTAAATGAATTTTCATCTACTCCATGTTGTCAATTCGATGTATCGTAAACCATTAAACTTGTAAAGCAACTATTTTTCTACATCCAAATACTTCAATACTAGTAGTATTTCAAGGACCAAATACTTCAACTATGTAGACAGTGAAGAGTGCAAATAAAAATAAAGAACAAAACTAGTATTCCAAGGACCAACAATCATATGTTGTATTCCTAAAAGTGAGTGATTCCCACAGCAAAGTTATCAGAAAATCTACCAATTATATGCAAGCCATACATATCCAGCATCACCGCAAACCAAATCCTCCCAATTCCATGCAAGTGCAAGCAATTTAACAGCAAGAAAGCAAGCACAATCAAGTCAGAACATGTAAGACAAACCTCAGTCACACTCGGATTCTCGGAAGAATTATCGGCACCTCTTCCTTTCTCCTCCATGTCCATGCCTTGCTCCTCCTCGCTCTCTTCCTCCTCCTCCTCCTCCTCCTCTTCTTCTTCTTCCTCCTCTTCCTGCTCCTCCATGGCCTCCTCAGCGCCACCACCTACCCACTCGCTGGGATCAACCCCTCTCCTAATCTGCTCCCCTCGAATCTTCTCAACGATCACGGCCTCCTCAGCCCGCCGCATCAGCGTCTCGGACCACCGCTCCCCCGGCCTCGCCATGGCCCGTCCCGTGGGATCCTGGAACCTGCCAAGGTACTCGTGGTGCAGGTATGGCTCCCGCTCCCGCATAGCCTCCTCGGAGAAGTACTCCCCCTCGCGCACCAGGCGGTCGAGGTAGGCGCGGCGGCGGTTGCGGACGCGGGACGCGGAGGGGCCCCCCTCGGAGGCCGCGCGGAGGCGGCGGAGGTGCCAGCCGACCTCGTAGTCGCCGGCGAGCGCGTCGAAGGCGGCGAGCTCGTCGCGGGACAGCGACCCGCCGTAGCGCTCGAGGAAGAGCGGGGCGTCGCGGGAGAGGAGCGCGAGGAGGGCGGCCTTGCGGTCCGGGGCGGACGGCGGCGGGTCGGCGAGGAGGAAGGTGGTCGGGTAGTAGAGGCCGTCTACGGCGGCGAGGCGGCCGGCGATGCGGTCCATCGCCGCGGGCTCCATGGCTGCCGCCGCCGCCGGCGTCGCGTCGTGTACACGTGTTCGTGTCGGCGTGGCGAGAGTGGCTTCCTCTTTTAGCCGGGCCGGGTTTGGGCTTTAGGCGGTGGATGGGCTTAGATCGGTTTGGTTTTGAATGGGCCTTGGCCCATGGGGATATGGAATTTTTTTTATTTATAATTTTTCTTATTAAAAGTTTTACAAAAATAATTTTCCATTTTGAAAATTGACGGAAATAGTCGCCTACCGCCCTCTGGGAGGGCGATTTTTAAAAATCGCCCTCCCAGAGGGCCGGCGAAAATGACGTGGCAGACGGCCGTTCGCTCTCGGGCGACGGCCGTCAACGAAATTTGCAGGCGGCCCCCTTGCCGCCCTCCGCGAGGGCGATTTTGTACTGTGCGGGGGGCCGCCTGCAAATGGGCGGCGAGGGGGGGCATGGAAATTTGCAGGCGGCCCCCTTGCCGCCCTCCGCGAGGGCGATTTTGCACTGTGCGGGGGGCCGCCTGCAAATGGGCGGCGAGGGGGCATGGAATTTTGCAGGCGGCCCCCTTGCCGCCCTGGGGGAGGGCGATTTTTGCCTCCCCCCTATAAAGCCCAGCCCCTCCCCTATGAAATTTCATTATATTCACTAAAAATCCAAAAAAAACGAAAGAGAGAGAGAGGGGAGGGCAGCAGAAGGGGAGCGGCGAAGCCCTGCTGGTTCGCTCACTTCATCACAGGTATGCTCCCATACATCTTTTGCATTTGTACTAATATATTACGTTTGAGTACATATGTTGCGTTTTAGTTTTAGTTCCATATATTTTAGCAGATCTGTAGCACACAGCACATATGTGTAGATCCAGAGCATAGAATATAATAGTATGAATTGAGACATAGACAGTAGTGTTAATTGTAAGATGTAGTTTAGTTTGATCTGGAGAATGTAACCTACTTTTAGAAATTTAGAGAACAATATTGTAGAGAATGTAACTTAGGGCGTAGTACAGAAATGCGAGGTTAACGCAGTTATTGTTTTCATCAGGCACAATGTCAAGTAAGGTCACATTTCAGATAGTTCACGGTGAAGGAAATATTAGATTTGGTCCAGATGGTGTTGATCTGTCAGATTTTGTAATGACATCTAAGGGCATCGATAGGCCTGCGGAGAGAACATTTCAGTCAATTTATAGTTGGTTGTTGAGAGGATTTAGAATAGACCAAGAAGTCTACACAATGTCAGTATCTGTTGTAGTGAGTCGTGCAATAGAAGGTTATTTTTGGGAACTAATGCCGATGGACAGCACTGCTGCTTGGAGACGGTATGTGGAAATGGCTTTTGAACGGTCATGGCCCCTCGTTATATTTGTGTCGGTACAAGAGAAAGATACAAATGTTTCAATGCAAACCGAAGATGTGGAGGGTCCTAGCAATGCAGGGGATGTTGTTGGACCATCGATGCAAAATGAGGAAAATCAACCAAGGGAGGAGCAGGCCATGGGCATGGCGGATGAGGGGGAGAGAGTCGGTATAATTGTTGATGAAATGGAGAGGGAAGATTCGGATAATGAGCAAGCGGAGGACGACGCATCATCCGATGAGGAAGGTGATGTAATGGCCACTGATTGGGCAAATGAGGACTTCTCTGGTCTTGTTATATCAGAGGGTGATCATGTACCCTGGGAGTATAAGGAGTACGAGGTAATTGAGGGTGCAAGGTATGCTCATAAGGATGAGATGAAGGAGGCGGTGAAGCATTGGGCAGTTTCATTGCAGAGAGAGTTTAGGGTGGTCAAGTCAACAAATTATGTGTATGAAGTGAGGTGCATGAAGGAAGATTGTCCATGGCGTGTCCATGCATATAAGGGTAAATGGAATGATTATTGGAAAGTTAGCATTGTGACCGAGCACAAGTGCTACTTACAAGGGGTGGAGAAGTATCACCGAAACATCACTTCAGCTTTTGTGGCAAGTGAGATGTACAGCAGTGTTGTTGGTAACATTGGCTTTGAACCAAAATCAATTATTAGGCACATCGAGAACAAATTCAAGTACACCATAAGCTATGCAAAGGCCTGGAGAGCCAAACAAAAGATCATTGAGATGAGGTATGGCACATTTGAAGCTTCTTATGATAATTTGCCTCGTTTGTTAGCCACCATTGCCCAGAGGAATAATAATACTTACTATGACCTACATACATTTACATCGGTTGAAGATAGAACAAAGAGTGTGCTGCAAAGAGCCTTTTTCTCATTGGGTGCTTGCATCAATGCTTTTGTGCATTGTCGACCTGTTCTATGCATAGATGGAACTTTTATGACAGGTAAATACCGAGGTCAGATATTGACAGCAATTGGGTGTGATGGGAACAACCAGGTTCTACCTATGGCTTTTGCATTTGTAGAGAGTGAGAACACTGAAAGCTGGTACTGGTTCCTAGAGAGAGTGCACATTGCAGTGGTGCGTATGAGGCCCAACGTTTGCCTTATACATGATCGTCATGCGGGTATGTTGCGGGCTATTGACTACTTGCAGAACGGTTGGGATGAGAAGGGACTTCCAGCTAAGTGGCCTGATGTTCGGAGTCGGTGGTGCATGCGTCACATGGGTGCAAATTTCTACAAGCAATTCAAGAACAAGCATCTTATGGAGCTCTTTAAGAGGCTCTGTGCACAGAACCAAGAGAAGAAATTTAATGAGTTGTGGGACAAGTTGGATGAGTTGACAACGAAGCAAACAGATGAGCAATCTCGCAGACCACAAGTTGAAGGTGACGAGCCTCCCATACCTCTTGGTGCATTACATGATGACCCACCAACAATGAGAAGGAGGTCAGGGTCGGCCATCAGAAATTTCTCTCAGTGGATTGAGAATGAGCCTAAGGAGAAGTGGGCTCTATTGTTCGACACCGATGGATCTCGGTATGGCATAATGACAACCAATTTGGCAGAGGTGTACAACTGGGTAATGCGAGGAGTTCGGGTACTTCCATTGGTTGCTATTGTTGAATTCATCCTTCACGGCACGCAAGCCTACTTTAGGGATCGATACAAGAAAATTGGTCCGTCCATGGCCGATAACAACATAGTGTTTGGCAACGTAGTGACAAAGTACATGGAAGATAAAATCAAAAAGGCACGGAGACATAGAGTTGTTGCTCAAGGCACACAAGTGCATCGGTATGAAATAATGTGTGTTGATAGGAGCAGGCGTGGTATCTATCGCAAGCAAGCCGTGCAGGAATGTCTCTTGAAGGCGGATGGTGGATGTACCTGCAGTTGTATGAAGCCGAAGCTTCATCACCTTCCTTGCTCACACGTTCTTGCTGCTGCCGGTGATTGTGGCATATCTCCCAATGTGTACGTCTCAAATTATTTCAGGAAAGAAGCAATCTTTCATACATGGAGTGAGGAGATATATGGGTTCGGGATCTCAGGATCTTACACAACGCTGAGTGCCCAAGTTTTTTATATTCCAGATCCATCTAAGTTTAGGGTGAAAAAGGGTCGACGCCAAACTAGACGCATCAGAAATGATATGGATGAGTCAGAAGCAGGTGGGAGGACTTTACGCTGCAGCAAGTGTGATCTGCGCGGCCATACTTACAAGACATGCCCGAAGAATGCAGAAGTTCCAAGCGGCGCAGATGCTAGTCCATCTGGACAGGCAAGTGATGGTAGGCGACCACCTGGTGAAGGAACAACAAGCAGGCGCGCAAGGCCAAGGCGTCGTCGCGCAGCAGGCGATTCCATGGTGTAACAATGCTTTCGATTTAGGAAATAAAATGATGTAATGAGTGTTCGGACTAAATACTTCTATCGTGTAATTTCAATTCAATCTTGTTGTAATGAGTACCTCCGACTATTGTTGTACTAGTAGTATTGCGAACTATTCGGTGTTGTATCATAATGTTATCGTGATGAGTGTTCGGACTAAACACTTTTGTTTGTTTGTACTCTTGTTTAATATGTGTTAGTAATTCGCTTATGAACATTTATTACTTATGTTGAACTAATTATTTATATGTTTCTGATCAACCTATTTGATGCAGGTATGGCGTACGACACACCGGCGCTGTTGAACCGTGGGATTGACAGGAACCACCGCTCGTTCCTGTCAGCAGTCGAGGGTGCACAGCTCGGCACCTTCCGTCCACGCACGTCGCGCGAGTGGTTGCGTGTCGACCCCCGTCACGTTCCTTGGTACGCGTATGTTCACATTTCAACTCAACTTTGCTTTGTTTTATACTTATGTTTGAAGTTTGCTCTATACAGGTTGCGTGCGGCAGGCCTTCTACCACTTTGTAGGCTTGTTGAGGCGGCGGCGGACGACCGTGACCCAGCGAAGCGGTGGGATGCAGACCGGTCACTCCTTGCCGCTCTTGTAGACCGCTGGAGACCTGAGACGCACACGTTCCACCTTCCCTGTGGGGAGATGGCTCCGACACTGCAGGACGTGTCGTACCTGCTCGGGCTACCGCTGGCGGGAGCACCAGTTGGTCCCGTCGACGGTGTTTTTGGGTGGAAGGAGGATATCACTGCGCGCTTCGAGCAGGTGATGCGCCTTCCACACCTAGGACCGACCACCACCCTTCCTCCGTACTCTACAGTCGGGCCTAGCAAGGCTTGGTTGCTCCAGTTCACTGTAAGTAAATAAGTTGTTATTATCATACGTGCTTATTTGCGACCGGATCAGTGTTTTGTACTAACATTTCATTCTTAACTGTAGGCGGACCTTCTGCACCCTGACGCTGATGATTACTCGGTCCGACGCTCCCTTGAGGCGTACCTGTTGTGGTTGTTCGGGTGGGTGATGTTCACTAGCACCCACGGGCACGCTGTGGACTTCCGGCTGGTCCACTACGCACGGTCCATCGCGGATGCTCAGCCACAGGACGTGCCGCAGTGGAGCTGGGGTTCTGCCGTGCTAGCAGCCACGTACCGTGCCCTCTGTGAGGCGTGCACGAAGACTGACGCGGGAGCGATCATCGCTGGCTGTCCTATGTTGCTTCAGCTTTGGGCAGCCGAGAGGTTTGCCATAGGGCGACCAGTGGTGGACAGCGCACCCTACGGGGTTGGTCGCAGCGCGC